AAATCCCATATAACATCCTGCAAGTCTCATCTAGAACCTATTGAATTGGAAATTGGAAATATGTCTATTTAGCTACTTAAGGGAAACTCTGTCCATCTCCAAGAACATCCACAATCCCATTTTGAAAAATGAATCCACACGTGATGATGGAACAGGGATTGGAATGGTGATGGTCTCCAAGTGAATTCCAGAAAGAGAAGAACAATCCATGCACTTTACCTTTGCATCCATCCGCCAAATATCCTATCTTTGGGACGTTCTGAAGTCCACGTTCTTCCATCTATATCGCCCTACGACGATCTGCATTGTGCAAGGATTGCGTGTTATATAAAGTAGCTCGGTGCATCGATTGGTTCTCCTCCATTTCTGGCTTTTGGAATCTTCAACAAGGACATAAATTTTGATGCCAACTTCAAGAAATGTTGGAGCTGGCTTGGCGTGGCTCATCAGACAAACAAGGTGATCCAACCAACGCGAGACGGTAGAAATGAGGGAAAATTACCAATTTAGTCCTTAACCTTTCAATTTGGCCAATTCAGTCCTTTTGGCCGGCCGGCGCTGACGTGGCCGCGCGGCCGGCTGACGTGACGCCGGCCGGCGCCACGTGGCAATATTTTAATATTTTTTTTATTATTTTCGAATTTTTTTTTCTTTCCTTCTCCCCGGGCTCGCCGGCGAGGGCCCAGCTCCGGCGAAACGAGCTGGGCCCTCGCCGCCGCTGGGTGAGGGAGGAGCTCGCCCAGCGGCGGCGAGGCGGAGCTCACCCTGCCATAGTGAGCTCCGCCTCACCAGATCTGGGCGAGGGCGGAGCTCGCCCAGCCAAGGCGAGCTCCGCCTTGCCCAGATCCGGCGAGGCGGAGCTCGCCCAGCCATGGCGAGCTCCGCCTCGCCAGATCTGGGCGAGGGCGGAGCTCGCCCATCCATGGCGAGTGGGCCCTCGCCGCTCGCCCGGCTCCGACGAGGCGGAGCTCGCCTTGGCCGGGTGAGCTCCGCCCTCGCCCGGCCTCGGCGAGGCGGAGCTCGCCTTGGCCGAGCGAGCTCCGCCCTCGGCCGCGGCGGCGAGGGCCCGGCTCGCCTCGCCGGAGCTGGGCCCTCGCCGGCGAGCCTCCCCCCTGGCCGGACAGGCCAAGGGGGAGAAGGAAAAGAAAAAAAAAAGAAAACAGGAAAAAAAATTCGAAAATAATAATAATAAATATTAAAATATTGCCACGTGGACGCCGGCCGGCACCACGTCAGCCGGCCGGCGGCCACGTCAGCGCCGGCTGGCCAAAAGGACTGAATTGGCTGATTTGCAAAAGGTTTAGGATTGAATTAGCCAAATTGAAAGGTTGAGGACTGAATTGGCACAAATGCAATAGGTTGAGGATTGAATTGGTAATTTTCCCGTAGAAATGATGAAGAAAAATTACAAGGCGAGAAACAAAGTTAGATATGTGCAAAGTATCGCCCGATGAGGATATTCTAAATCTTAACAGTAGATTGTGAATCTACGTGATTACCCATTCGAGTTCACTATAGAATTGCAATTCATCTTTAGTAATTGTCGTGTATTTTAATGAAATTCTCTTTCCAGATAGAGGCAAGCATGCAATCAAATATTAGTCTATCATATCGTATTTTATCGTTTAGTAAAAAAGATAAACAAATTACTTTCTTGGTATGGGATTGTTCTTAAGGAAAATTATCAAAAAAGTGTTAAACCAATTGCGCTTATACCAATTCAGTCCTAAGCCTTTCAATTTAACTAACTCAGTCTTATACCTATTGCCCTTGTGTCAATTTAGTTCTAAATATTTCGATTGCACCAATTTAGTCATAAACATTTTGATAATTTATCAATTAGCTGGAAATCGCTGACATGGCTGTTTAGTCAGCGCCGGCCGTCCTACATGGCTCGGCCAAAGCTTCCGTGGAGAATTTTGTAAAATTTTTCTGAATTTTTTTATTTTTATTTATTATTATTATCAGTTTTTTCTTATTTTCTTTTTTTTTCCTAACCCTGCCATAGGTGAGGATTGCAACACCCTCGCCAGCTTGTGCTTAGAAAAACAAAGGAAAGAAAAAAAAAAGAATAAAAACAAATAACAAATAATTCAATAAAAATTTTAAAAATTTATCTACATCAGTGCCAATGGTGCCACATAGGATGATGGGCACTAACTAGACCGCCACATCAGCGATTTCCGGCTAAAATTAGCCAGAATGACTAAATTGGCAAATCTTCAAACGGTTTAGTTATAAATTGACAAATCGTCAAAAGGTTTAGGACTAAATTGATACAATTGAAAGGTTTATATCTAAATTGGCCAAATTAAAAAGTTTAGAACTGAACTGATACAAGTGTAATAGGTTTAAGAGTTTTTTGGTAATTTCCCCATTGTTTCTACGTATATTCTCTCCCTTTCTCTCCTTTTGTGTTTAGATCCTCTCGTTATTGTACTTTCTGTCTTTTGGGTTACCGCATGCTTAGATGATCTACCAATATACACACCCGCAATAGTGAAGACAGCCCCAACCCGTCGCTAGCATGATATTTCCGGTTCTTATCGCAAATCATCAATGGCTTTCAAACTCGTTATGCTACTTTAAGGTTGCGCAACCTCCGCACAATGCAGTTTGGACGACCTGCTACCTAAGGTTTGGCCACCATGCGTGGAGGTCTTGATCCTTGAGGTCAAGATCGACTCGTGCTAGCGCGCAGAGAGAGAGAGAGAAGGTATTAGGATTTGGATTTTTGCAGAAATTCTCTTGAAAGTAGAGGCGTTTTACTACAGAGGATTCACATCCATGTAGGTGAAAAATATGACAAAACCAGAAAAAAGAGATTACAAGTACCATAACTTTTTCTTTGATCTCAATTATAACTCTCTTTTTTAGAAAAGAAATCCTCTATTCCTTTAATTGTTGTTTAACCCAGCTGTATGGAAAGATTTTTTTAATCAATACAATAAACCGGATAAGAAATTTGTTAGGAAAATTTTTAAAATAAAAAAAGTTACCAATTCTAGATGGATAATTAAATTGACCATAGGACCTCGACAATTGTCGCACCACGTTTCATGAGGTAGCTCTAAATTTTGAGTCCGATTTCCCGACGTCAGTTCAGAGGTGGCAGCGACAACAGTGATAGCCACCATTACCAGTAACCATTCCTTCTCCTCTCTCTTCTCTCTTGTTAGGTTCTCTCTTTGCTTATGTGTACTCATCTCTTGATTTTTCAACAATTTTTTTTTATATTTTTATCTTGCAATAAAAAAAAGCCGTCATATTAACGCCATGTCGGCATCGCATCAGCTAGTTAATAGCCGTTTTAAACGGCGAGATAACTCCCAATCCACTCATGAAGCACCTTATCTAGATGGTTACATGAACACATTATCCAATTCAACATATAAGCTAAGTAGGAGTAATGGAGAAGGAGAAACAACTCAACTCTAGAGAAAGCTACTTTGGCAGGTATGGCATTTGGAAGCTCAAAAGGACAAAAAAAAATTAAAAAAAAAGGATAATTAGGTGTAAAGAAATTGGGTCTTAATTAAATATTTAGAAGGGTGTTATGGCATTGTCAAAAGGGGTTAGGAGGAATAATCAAAGATGGGTCCTATTGCAATAATTCGATGAAACATCTTCTCTTTTAATCCCTTTTTGGTTAAGATAAGAATGTCTTCTAATGAAGTCCATGCCCCACTTCGTCGAGGCAACTCATAAACGCCGTTTCCCCCATCGATTTCGAGGTTTCCCATCCACTCCACTTGGATTTGATTGACGATGAAATTGTCATGAATTAAATGACTCAATGCTCAATAATCTCGTTTAAGGTAGAAATTGCACTTTGTCTAACAAAGGAACGTCATACACATGATAACTCACTCAACATAATAAGGTCCCATTAATAGTATTAATCCATGTAATTGTCTTTTCACTTTGTTTACAGAAAATATCATTAAATTCGTCGTTTACGAGGTGAACACCAATTTTGAGAATTGGCTTTACAAGATAGTATTGGTATCGCATGCGATCTCTCTAAAAGCTTGACCTATTTTACAGTATAATAATTGATTTTTAGAATAGAGATTTTACGTCCTAAACTTTAATTTTATTCAAACTGTGGTCCTCACTCCTCATTTTGCATTTTGCTTTAATCACATCTCTAGAATATGTCGTTCAAACTTTAAAAGTATCCCAATGACATCTTAAAAGATCGATGCAGGTATATCACATTACAGGTAGATCTCGCTTAGGAGCAAAACAAATTCGGCGTAGATGAGAACCAGGGACCAAAATCACAAAAAAAAAAAACTGAAAATTTAGGACCTAAAACTCAATTTCCTTAAGTACCCAGAACAAAATTACAAAAGAAAAGTGGGACTATGAATGCAATTTACCGGCATATAAAAAGGGGTTAATACAACGAAAAACCCCAAACTGGTACATCCGTGATAAATTTACTCCATATTAATTTTTTTAGCACTAAAAACCCCAAATTAATACATTTGTGACAAACTTATCCATTATTAATTTCCGTTAAATTGGATTGATACGACGAAAAATCACAAACCGGTACACTTGTGACAAAAGGAGGGGTAAAATCCCAAATCGGTACATCCGTCAACTACCACTTCGTCATCCAACTCAGCAATTTGACCGTAAAATTTAACGAAAGCTAACGGATGGTAAATTTGTCACAGGTGTACCGATTTTGGAGTTTTTCGTGGTAATAAAACCTTATAAAAAAAATCACTTATGAATTAAAAAGGGAAATAAAAAAAAAAAAAAGGCATTATCTAGAAAAAGATAACGGGGCTGATTTGGAAGCGTTTTTGTTAACGTTGAGCCCCCAACAAGAAGCCGTGAAATTGCCAATTGCCAACTGGGCCACCTCACGTATTAAAACGGAAAAAAATAAAAAAAAAATAAAAAAATAAAGAAAGGAAAAGAGAAAAGCGAAGAGTAACCGAAACACAGCACACCAACTGAAGGAACGCAAGCACAGGCCAACACAGAGCCAAGCTGGAGGGACCCTTGAAGCCAAAGCTCTCGTCTTTCCCCTAGACCGAGCTGCGAAAAACGTGAGTCGATCCGCAGCATTCTCTGGGTTCTCCTCGTACTTGCTTTTCGTGATCTGGGTTCCCGTCTGATGCAGCAGCAGCAGTGTAATGTGGTTTGAGTTCTTGTCCCACTTGCCCAGTTTTGATCTGCGTGTCAAGCTTTTCTTTCCCGTTTCCCAATTGATGGTCATTGTTCTTTGCTTGATCCGAACTGGGTTTCGCTGTTTTTTTACTTCCGTCTTTGTTTTGCTCCCGTGCTGTTTTGTTTTTCGTGGCATTGGATTTGGTTTTTCCGTGTTCCTGTTGCTGGATCAACAGATCATGTTTAGATGTTTCTTGGTTGCTGCCGAAATGTGAGGCATCTGTGTTTATGAGCTGATGAAATGTAGGATGATTTTGGGTAGATTTCGGCGAGACCCGTAGGGATGAAATGCGCCTCGATTAAGCATGCCTAGTCCCTTTTACTTGATTGGGTCTGTGATATTAAGAAGCAATGTCGATTCATTCACGAGGAATGTGGAAAAGATAAGAAGGACCATTATATGCTCGTCTTCTCTGTTTTTCGTGAATATGTCCTTTAGTGACCTGTTGGACTGGTTTAGAGCTTTATGATTAACTTTTGGTTCTTGTGATAACTCTTAAATGGTAGGCTTAATAGCCTGCAAATCACACTTGATTATGAGATTATATCTTCTAGTCTCAATGTGATTCAATTCTCTTGAAAGCTATCAATCCTGTTGTTGGTAGCAGAAATTGCTTCCTGTGCTTCACCTTTCCCTACTCTCTCTCAAATTTTCATAATTGAACTGATCTCGTTCCTGACCACAGTGGATTCCTCAATTCATGCTCGTGCATAATTTACAACTGCCTTAAAGTATCACCCAGATTAGTTAAGGGGAAAAAAGAATGTATCATCATGATTTATCTTAAAATAAAGTCTGATACTGTGCTTTCTTGACATTTCGTGATTCTGAAGATCAGTCCTTTTCACATGATTGTGTAAAACATGCTTTCTTATCCTTGGGACCATTTATTTTTCCTTGCATGGCAAACCGTCCTGCAAAAATTGCCTCTTTCCATTATATCATCTCCTCAGAGAATGACATTCCAGAATAAGATTATTTAAATTAAATGTTAGAGTTATCGGTTAGTTGAGAGGTAACATCTCAGCAGCTTTCAGCCTAATCTCTAGCCATCTGATTTGGAAGTTATTGTCTTAAGGTAGCAACTAGACCTCAGAGAAGGAATGAAAAAATTTCACGGGGGTTCGGGCCTCATAATTGAGTACCTTATGCTTTCCCCATTCGTTTAACTAAACTACTGCGTTTTGTTCTCTGATATGCAGAGCGATGGGAACAGAAGTAATTGATACAAGCACGGTTAAAAAGCCGGATCATGTTGCTGTAGGTTCAAATGACTCGATCCATCAAAATGAGGAAACAATGGAGATGATAGAATATTATGAGGTCAAGAAATGCCCTGCTGAAAACTCCATTGCAATATCTAAACTTGGCCTCAAAGAAAAACACGAGGACGGCAAGACTATGGTGACAAAACACCCTAGGACTGGCTTGCGTGATGAGAAGGCCAAATCAGAAGCTCAGACGAAAAAGGACAACAGCAAGTCATCAATGTTGGCGAAGCACGGGATGAAATGCAATCGAACGCAGTATACTGTCCCACAACCGTTCGCCTTGGCAACTGCAAAGCGTGCTAATGGCGTCCGCCAGAGTGGGGCTGAACCAGACGGGCCAAAAGCTGCTGATAAGTACATAAATGGGAAGTCAGTGAAAGCACCGGATACTGACATGAAACGGAATCAGGTAAATGCTTTTGCTTAGGCTAAGTTCTGTTCTTTTGCATACTGATTTAACTAGGGTCAAAAGATCGATTGTGTAAACATCCTTTCTTTTCTTTCTTTCTTTTTTGTTTGTATTAAACATTGCTTATGTGGGAGCTATAAATTAACTTGACATATTTAGACTTTGACTTTGTTTTTTCGACATTGGAAAAATTGTCACGATGGCTACAGACACCACCTTCATTATCAGGGAAGCCCTTGCAACCAGATAATAAGAAAAATCCCAATGAGGAAGATTCGTGTACCATTGCTTCCATGTATCCTCTTGTACCTACAGCACTAGTTGTTAAGCTTTTCTTTTGTAATGCGCTTTTATGTTTTCAAGATTATCATTTCTTTTTTCAATTGAATTTTGGAGTTTCTCCTTAACCTGATTTAGCAATCCTGGATCGGCTCATGTCAAGTCCCAAATGACCATGGCATCAGCTCCCATGTTAAGATGCACTGAACGTGCAGAGAAACGAAGAGAGGTAATATTATCTTGTTCTGACCTCGACATGTCTGCGTTAATGATGTCTGTAAGCTGAGAAAGATACTATAAATGGCTCTTATGTCTTTTCATTTTCTTAGTTTTACTCCAAGTTGGAAGAGAAACACCAAGCAATGGAGGTGGAGAAAACCCAGTCCAAGACGAGGACCAAGGTATGGCGCATTATTAAGTGTAATTCCTCATCAATCTTGGTTTGGCGATTCTGTTGTTCCTCTTCATTATAGTACCTTCACATGTCGAAACACTAGGAAGAGAGTGAAGCAGCTATTAAGCAACTGAGAAAGAGTATGACATTCAAGGCAACCCCAATGCCGAGCTTCTACCATGAGGGGCCTCCTCCAAAGGCCGAACTCAAAAAGGTATATTGAGTTCGAGAGCATTAAGTTTCAATTTATTCAGTGACCTTCCCATATCATTTTGAAAACTTATTTCTGGATGGCAGGTGCCACCAACCCGTGCAAAATCACCAAAACTGGGCCGAAGGAAGAGTCATGGAAATTCATATAGTTCTACTCAAAGAAATCCGGTGAAACCAAGTTCTCTTGAGGGAAATCGTCGAAGCCTGAGCCGTTGCGAGTTAGGCAACACTGCCAGCGTCACTCTTGATAGTTTTCACAACTCTGAGGATGATCTCACACAAGTTATGGAAAGAGAAGAGTCGACTCCCCCGAGGATGAACGGACTTGGGATTGGAGACCAATCTCAAGAATGACATGGAACTTCAAGAGAGAGGCCGGGAGAAAAAAATTCTCGAGAGAGACCAGTTTATCAATTTCGATTCTCCAATACTTGCTGCAGTTGTTTGTGTAACTTAATGAAGTGTAAATTTCCTGTAAGTTATATGGTCGTACATATAAAAGATTTTCATGACTTTCCATGATAATATTGTCTATTACTGTCCTCCAAATAATGAGTTCTTTTTTCCCCTCCTGCATTCTTGCTTTGAATTTTGTCCTATCATCTTTGATGACTTTGATCTCCAACTCTGTCCTGAATACATGTCGATGTATGGGGCGAAAAAGACAATCCTTGCTCATGCAAATATGAATTAGCTATAATCTATTGCAAGTAATTTTTGCTGAATACAGACTTGCTGGTGGCACTGAATGATGGAATGAAGCTATAAACAAGTGCAAGCATTTTTCTTTTTGTTTTCAGTGAAGCAATTATCTTTTATTGTCTATGGTGTCCCAGATTCACAATTTGGGATATCATGACTTGCTATGCATGTAAAGTTGAGAAAGGCCAGTGTCAACAAGTGCTTTGTGATGACAAAAATTCTTGCTCATTATTTCTGTTTTCGTCATGATGAAAAGGTACTAAAGCAAAAGGATAAAAAGAAGCCCCTACTGCGTAAAGGGCCTATTTTCACAAGCTTTGTCTCGCTAAACAGGAGGAAAATGACCTTTTGAAAACACTATGCTTGTGAAAATTCACAAAGCTTTACCTTTTTTCATTGCTTTGAGCTTTAAAATTTCATCATAAGCATTGAAATAAGACTTTGTTATTGCATACTTTTCTACTCTTTTTTCATTTTTGTGTTGCTGTCATGTCGAGTTTATCTTTTGAAATAGTACCAGCTGATTTGTACTTATTAAGCAAGTCCTTAGATTTGTAAGCCGCCGCGATAGAATTATCAGTAGCATAATTGTGCATGAAGAACACACTTCAATACTAATCTCCCCAGATCAAGTATTGATACCAATTTGAATCATAATTTCAACATATCTAGGAATAACTTTAATCGAGTGCTCTAAAAGTTCCACACGTCTTATTTGCGGGATAACACAAAAACTTTGATGTGAATTTCAACAAGCATTTCCATTTTTTCTCCTACAAAGAAACATTAACAGCTCCCCTATCTTAGCGCCAAATTCCAACAGTGTAAAACCAGTATGACTCAGCTTCTTTCTCTCCCACATCTAAGCTCCAAACTCCAACAGTGTAAAACCAATATGACTCAGCCTCTCTCTCTCTCTCTCTCTCTCTCTCTCTCTCTCTCTACTACAAGATGGTGTGACATATATCTTGATAACCAAAGGGGGATCAGTGTAAAACCAATATCACTCACAAAATTTACTTCACTAGATTCATCTGTGGTACGTTTGGGAAACAGGGGAAAATGGGGTTGATGAAAATTTTAGTGGAAATTTTTTAAAGAAAATTTAACTATTTTGTAGGTGAAAAAAGAGGGAAAATTTAACATTTGTAGATGTTCTCCTTCCCTTTGCTTCATCTACGGTGCTCTCAAACGTATGTACCTCACCGACGAGATGGGTTCGTGATCAAAATGATTTTTCTCTAGATGAAAACTGAGAGGTATAAGTGACGATGATTTGGATGTAGATGGTAGTGGTGACATGTTATTCTTTTTTTCAATATTACTGTCTTCTTGATATTTTGATCACATGAACAATTTCTTTCGCCAACCGACACGCCCCATGTTGATAAACGAAGTCACATGAAACAATCAAACTGTCTTATTAATGTGAGGGTTGGACTTTCACAGCATTAGAAACTTTCATCGAAACATCCAATGATCCAAGTAATTCAGTGGCAACACTCGTCAATGTGCTTCCTTTATTTTCCCCTGCTTTTTGAACTACTCTGTGCCCACCTGCTCTTTTTGATTTCTTTAAGAGGGCCAACCAGCCAAAAATAACTTTCCATTTAAGCGTGGAATCAAACCAATTTGGGGAATTTGTCCTCATTGATGACTAGGTTTTGGCATCTCTCAAGACTTATTACTGTTTTTGTCCCTAGGTGGGTAGGAAAAAGGAGAGACTTTCACTCAAATTGGCCATTAGCCATTGAGATGATAATTTAAGTGGGTTTCAATCAAATAAATAAGAACAGTTCTCTGAGTAATAATCAAGTGGTGATTGTTGATGTTACATATATTAAGTCTTTATTTATATTTAATCACCAAAATAAAAGAGAGTTGTCTGTGCATGTATTAGGTTGATGAGGAAAGCAATGTGGGGTGGTAGTAGAGAACTTTTGCACTGTAACTATTTATTGGTTGCTAAAAAACAGCTCTTTTATTTCTATCTTTAGTTGATATGCCATGCACAACTAATTCTTAATGAGCATTTGCATCTATTTCCTACACCAGAGTGTACATTTTTCCATGTCAATTATATCATGAGCAAAAGGGTTCGATACTGATAAGCATACCGATTTATTCAACAGATTTTACCATACCTGAGGAAGTCATACCTCATTAATATTGACTGTAGAGCTTCAAACATCATATCCATTGTTTCTTTTTGGATATCGGTTGTCTAAAGAAAAAGATGCTCTATATCTTTGTAAATTGCCTGTTTTTGGAGAGCATACTATAAAGAAATCAGCAGACTTCAGCTCAGACGATTGGACGACTTTGTTCAAGTTTTTGTTTCACTGAAAAGATTGACTTAATGTTCCACATTCAAGAACATGCCTCAGGTATACCTAGTTGAAATTTGAGTGAATTGTAGATGAAGTAATTAACAGATGAGTTGAATATATGATCTACTTCAATTCACCTCTGTTAAAAAAAGCATGTTAAAGCAGATTGAGAAAAAAAAAGCATCTTGTTGTCTACATGCGATCTTGACCCACAAAAGAAAGTCTCATCCTCCTCACGTATATAAGGGCCCATGAAAGAACTCAGAACTTCCTCCGTCATCTCTCTCTCTCTCTCTCTCTCTCTCTCTCTCTCTCTCTCTCTCTCTCTGTGTTGAGGGGGATGCTGTCTGGTTCGATACCGCTCAAGTTTTCGGGGGGGAGTGACTTCGACAGAACGATCTCGGACCAGGCTTCATTCCCCTCAACTCGAAACATTATGTGCGCGATATATGATCTGCTCTCCGTTAGACCCTCCATAGAATGGCATGCGTGTGCCTCATATGTAACTGTATCAGCAAAATTTCTCAGATGAACTAAATTGTTCTGCTGTTCTTATTGCAGCCAAGAAAAGTTGAAGATGCAGCCGCAGCAAATTGAGAACGCCTTTCTTTTCGATATCAAGCGACAACGGTAAGAATTCTAAATTGAAGTCATTTACTTTGCTTTTGTTTCAGGATAAGTATAGAAGAAACTTCGATGACATATTGTGCTGGAAGTGATTTTTGTTATGCATTACAAATGCTTCAATCCAGGCATTTCTGGTCTTCAGGAGTGCATAACTCTCTTCTGTTGAACATATAAAGCGATAATTGTGATTACGGTGCAAATTTTACTTGATCACCAGTTAGCAAAGGGAATTCTTCGTGCACAAATTGTAGTTGTAATCGCGATTGCAAGATTCTTAAGAATGCGAATGCGCCACTGAGTAATGTGAGGATCGATAATATTTTTCGAAAATGAAAAGCAAACCTTGGAACTTTGGAATTGTTTTTCTTTTCTTTTTTTAGGTAATTCTTTACCTGGATCTTCACCGTGTAGAAAATGAATCCCAGAGCGCACCACTGAGAACTATAACTTCTTGGAATTTGCTTCCCGTTAATCTATTCAACTTATTACCAAATCCGTTGAAAAACATCTACACCAGTGTGAAAACATGACTTAAGAGGGAGAAAAAAGTTTAAAGAAAGTTAAGTTTCGGCTTTTCGCGGTTGAATACAAGACGTATCTGGCTTTGCTTGTGGAGAGCAAGGAAGAATATATGAGCCTAGGGACTTTTTGCTTTTGATTTTGTTGGACGAGAGCAAGTACTATCGCCAATCAAAGAGCTGCAAGCCTTGAATTCACTATGCTTTTGTGAGCCCCTTGAGATTTTGCCATCATGAGATCTCCTTTAATTAGTCTCGGCCAATTCTTCACTTTCTAAAACAATGTGGGTCTCTCTGATTCAACCCAATGTGGGTCATGGGGGCAAAATTTGCATCGCAATACCATGTGGATGTGTTCTCAAAAGTTGTGTACTGTTGCGGCTCTGATTTTAACGGATATTTACATTTGTACTCTTCATAATCTTCAAAATATCAAGAACCCTTTTTGAGGAAATGGACAGAGGCTCGAATATAATCCATGGAACCAAATTGGAGTCTGATATATTGCCATCGAAGCGGAAATGCTTGTTCTGTGCAGGCCTAACAACTTTCCTAAGATCAGTGATGCAGAACACTCCGATTTACGCTATCCTTATTTAATGATTGCACAAAAGATGGTGTGAGAACATTGATAAACAAATGCGGTGATTTTGGCGGAATGTGGATGAAAGCGAGTCCCATGACCTCGTGCTAAAGAGCTGCAACGTCATTTGTAAACCGGAAAACGTAGGAGGCCAGGGTTTAAAATTGACAGTGCACTCAATGCCATGTTGAAGGAAAAGGATGGCTATGGGTTAGAGTGTGCAGGCTAAGTATTTACAAGGCAGTCCATTCTTACAGCATGCTGTCAAGCCCACGGCATCAAAGAGCGTGGAAAGCTACTGCCGCTTATAGGAACATCATCCACCAGGGAGTTTTGTATCAGATTGGCAATGGTGAAACAGTAGAACTGGGGGCTACTACGATGGATTACCAAAACCGTGGAATGGGATGAGTAATGTGGAAGCAACCATTGCTGAAGATGAGAGAAGCTGGAATGTCTCTAGATTTTGCATAGTTTTTTTCTGATGAGACGGTCAGAGAACTCCCGAATCTGCAACTCAAGATGGTCTTAAATGGTTACCTGAGAATTCCGGGGACTTCTCGGTCAAGTCGGCCTAAAGGGATGTCGTTAGCTGTAACCTTACTGCTCCTAATGAGAGACTTTGGCGTTTGATTTGAAACACTAATGCTTTGAACTATGTTGCAGCTTGGAAACAGGAAAATTTCAGGTTGCTGTTGTTGCTAGGAACCATCAAGGACATGTACTGGGCGCTTGGTGCAGACTTATAGTTGTTGAATCTCCCCGCGAAGCAGAAGCAGAAGCAGCGTGGACATTGACTCTCAATGCTAGAAGCTACCGAGCGGATAAGAAGATTGCCAAATGCTCTGCTCGTTTGTCTCAGGGAAGAAGACGGATTATATTTGCAGGCTTCATCCATTTAGTAATGATCTGAAACATTGTCAACTGGTAGTTGTCTGTCTAGTTTTATATCTCATGCACAATCTAGTTTGGATTGTAGTCTCAACCTTGTTTCCGTAGTTGTTGGTAATGCCATCGCTTGACGCCGTGTTTCGTACCTTTTTTAAGGAAATCAAGAAGAAAAAGCATGTTTCAGCTTGCGCCCATGGACCACCGCAGAGATGAAACAAACCATTAGCTTGACAAAGGTCCTGTAAAAGCATGTTTTAGCTTAACAACATGGAGAGGAGGCTTAGACCGAGTCTATTAATCCAGGTGGTTGCTCCATAACGACTAGCTCCGAAGAATAACTCATACAAAAATACATTCTCGATATCGAGTTATACAATGTCTCGATCCGTCGTGCGTAAGATAAACGGCGGCTAGCCGAGGCTCTTCAAGAGTAAAAAGCAATGAGACTTGTTTGGACCCGACTCAACATCCATCGGTTCCATCTCAACTCCATGATCAATCGCCGAAACTGAAAATGTTCCGAGGACCATGAATCTGGGCATGCTCAATAGAAGTGTACAAAACGGACTGCCCAAACTAGAAACCACCCGAACCCGACCGAACCGAACCGAACCGGCCGGTTGGGTCCGGTTTCCGAGAGTGTCGGTCCAGTTCCCAGTTCCAAAGGGAAATCGGACCGACTACATATACTTTTTTTTTTTTTTTTTATTCTTCAAAAAAATTAGCAAAATGTAAACTACACCCTGAGTGAACTTCATTGGAAAAAAATTAGTAAAATATGAACTAAATCCTAAGTGAACTTAATTGATATAAATTCATTGATAAAAATTAGTAAAATGTGAACCAAATCTTAAGTGAGCGATTTCATTGAATCAAACCGAATCGGGAACCAATCATCCCTAAGGCTCATGGACATATCTTGATTCTTGTAGAATTAAACTTGCGTGGAAGGATGAGACACCATGGCCCAATGCAAGGCCCAAAGCTTTCTTCCAACCAGTTCTATGTCAAAGCCATAGTATAAAAAATATATATATTTAAAATGAATCTAGACCATTGAAAATACGACGGATTTTGTGTGAGTTAATTAAGTTTGGTAGTCTGGATTGAATTTAGTACATGTACTAGATTTTTAAAATACTTTCTCGAGAAAAATGGGTTCATATTAAGGAATTCAAATTCATCAAGACATTCTTCCACTCGAAGAATCGAGATAACATGTGAGGAAGAGATAAGGTTATATTATTCTAAACTATATCTAATCCAACTTGGCAATATTAAAAGGCCAATAAGGAAAAGAGTACAATTATTAAGCACGTCAACAATAAAAAAAAAATTAAAGTCTCACCATCATGCTTGATTGATTGACCCATGTAGACTCCAAGTGGGGCTTTGTTGGAGAGCATTAGGGGAAAAATTATGGAGAGAATGTGAAAACTTCCCATGATTTTCACACCCACTTCAATCCTCCCGTTGTTCTTCTTCTTACAAACAATGCAATGATAAACATGTGAGTCGGCAAAAAAGATGAATGATAAATATGAAGAGAAAGGATCGTATCAATATCATGGCTTTTGTACGGCTCTCATTTTGATGCTAAAACCTTTCGAATAATCACTCAAGTGTCACAACTTTTAAGAAGTGTCGCTTAAGTGACTATGGCAACTCGGTTTGTCGAAAAATGTAAGGAAACACTTTTAAAAAGTTTTTGTAATTAAAGTGATCTTTCATATAGTATCACTACTAAATTGATCATTTGTATAAAAATTTCTTTTATATTTTAAAATTAGAAATTCGACCAGATGTCGTCATTCTAACCTTGCCACTTTTTTCTATTAGAGTCAAAAGCAAAATCATGGAGCAAACATTCTTTCTGAATAATTTCATTTAGCAACACTAAGACTTATTTGTTTTCCTCAAAAAACAAAAATGGAAGTATGTAAAATTTCATTCACCCTCGTAACTTCACATTTATTTCTTCTTTTACTTTGCTTTGTTTTGAGATTCAACAGCATAGCTTGATGCATTGTGAAAATGGACTACTTCTCTTAGATCAATGGCAAGGATCAATGCTAGGGAATATTCAGGAACCGATATGAACCCATTTCTTAACCAATAAGATTGTTTGGTACATAAATTACGCACAACACTAACTAAAATGTTTTACGCCAAAAATTTACGAATGATTAAATTTAGTACTAAATTTTTTTAAAAGCATCCATTTAAATGACTAATGTCAGCTACATCAGATTTTTCATTATCGAAATCATTTAAATGATCGTTTTTTAAAAGACGTAACATTTAAATTCCGTCTAAAAAGTTTTGACATCAAAATAGGGACAGTACAATGGCCATGAAATCCTCCAAAAAAAAATTTCTTTTGGATATAACAGAGACTTATTACTTCATTTCATGAAATCCTCAAAATTGCACAGCAATAAATATGGCAGAAAAAGAAAAAAAAAAGTATTACACCTGCCCGTTGTACCTCCAGTTTCTCTCTCCCGCGTGAGCTCTCCTAAATTCCAACCCCATCTCTTTTCTTTTTCACTCTTGTCCTCTCCCTCTCAAAATTTTCTTTTCAAGGTACTTTATGTAAGAGCAGATGACCCGCATTCAATTCTCACATATAAGTGATCTCATCTTTTACCATGCCTTCAAGCTTTTTGTTTACACTACTCATAACTGGTTTGGTCAGGCAGAGTTCGGTTGGTGAAACTGATATAATTTTCGACGACTACCCGATGGGAGTGCCGATGATCGTAAAAAGAGCTCATCAATTATTATGATCGACGATTATCGACGACCATGAAGTATGCCTGTCAATGTACGATGGTGAATTGTCGACGAATGTCTCGTTCGATATCAAAACCAATATATATAACCCGTAATGATAGATTTGGTTTAAGTGTTGGACACAGGGAGTGGATGAAAAAAGAAAGAGAAATATTGAACATGTCAATAAAAAAATATGGATATCAAGCTATGGTTGCGAAACCCGATGGCACCAGTAGCTGTAACCGCTTGCAGACGGGATTAGCACGCGGATAAGAAGCCTAGAATCACGAAAATGCAGCTGTAAGCGCATTAAGAATATTAACTGTTTATAAGCAGCTATGTTTAGTAAGCTATCAAACACGACGTGTAATTATGGGAAAAGGAATCAGTCATTCGAAACATGTGTCTCGATGAATTTTTATCAATTTATTAATGTTATTGGCTTTTCAGTTTTCGTTATTTGTAATTTTATACCTTTAAATTCATCTTGTTTATATTTGTTGCAATGCCGATTGAATTCCAATCCGAAATCACCGCCGAACCCGTCTCACAAAAAACCAAAGATCAATTTTTTAGTAAAAGATTTTTCACTACTTGGGCAGCGCCTGTTTTTGGTGAAACAAATGTGCTCGTCTTTTACCGAATTCATGAAGATAGTGATATATAAATTCCTTCGTCATTAAAAGTCATTTAACAATTAGGTTTTTCAAATTTCGTCCCCAATATATTTAAATTGAAGAGGCTAATATTGACCATACTAAGAAGATTATAAAAAATGTAATTCACGCAACGAGTAAGACTTAAAATTGGTAGGCATGGACGACAAAAGTAAACAAAATGAACCCGAGGCCATACATTTTTTACGCCACTCTTCAGAAAAGGACGAAGAAATATTTTAGGAAAATGATAAAAAAAAGTTATAAATTATTATACATATGTCAATTTAGTTATAAACTTTTCAATTGTGCTAATTAAGTTCTAAACATTTTTTTTTGATTTGCCAATATAGTCAGCGTTGCCAATTTTGGCCGGAAATTGCTGACATAGACACCATTTTATTCTACGTGTGGCATGCCTGTGCTGACGTGAACAATTTTCTAAATTTTTTTTTTATAAATTTTGTATTCTTTTCTTTATTCTTTTTCTTTTTCTCTAGCAAGTTTGGTGAGGTCTAGCTAACCGTCATTGGCTACTGGCAAGGGCTACGACCTTCACCCGCGGCCGACGAGGGCCTTGTGGCCCTCACCCGGTGGCCGACGACCCTTGTGGGCCTTTGAGAGTGACCGACGAGGGTCAGCAGTGACTCTCATCCGAATTTCAAGAAAAAACAAGAAAAGAAAAAAAATTATAAAATCCTTTTAAAATTATAAAAAAAATCATAAAAATTGTTTATGTTAGCGCCGACCATGCCACATAGGACGGCCGGTATCCGTGTCAGCAATTTCCGCCAAAATTGACCGAAAAGAACACATTACTAAATCATCAAAATGTTTATGGCTCAATTAATAAAATTGAAATGTTCAAAATTGAATTGGTATTCTTACAATAGATTTAGGACTTTTTTGTTAATTATCCCGAATTTTTTTTGTGGCATGCCACTGGTTGCATTTGGCAAACAAGACACCCCTTTCTACACACGATTCACGTGCCATCCCTCTGATTTCTCCTTCAATCTATAATACTCTTGTATCTGTCTTACCTTTTGGTGGAAGTGAACCTACATTGATGCTGCCAGAATTTCAGTTCATCCTCGTTCAATTATTGTCCAATTGTACTAACTTTGCATATTGACATTAGAAGAAAATCAAGTCGTATCGGGGCCTCCTCATCCGCCAGTCATCTCTCGACATTGATTGATGATTACGCGAAATAAAACAACTCCAAGCAATTCATGGTACGACGCTTTTAATTTAGAATTCTGGACATCACCATCTTGCCTCCCTTTATCTTTTCCGATATTCTCCACTATCTACAGGAAAAAAAAAAAAAGATTTCCATCGTGCATCACATGGTGGATTGATCACGCTGTTCGGATAATATGTTTGTCGTTTTTATTAATGTTTAAATTTTGTAAATTCGTTTTTTTTGGTCGGAATTTGAATTTTGTAATTTAATATGCTTTTTATAAAGTATGTTAGGCCACGTGATATAAATTGAGGATATTATCTTTTTGCACGTTTTCTTGACACTAACAGTTGTCCGTCTGTCTCCCACTAACTTTTAAATGCTCCCCCTCCTTGTAAATGTGGACCCTTGTTTAAGAGATAATTAAGGAAAATTTATCATTTTTGACACACTTTTTTATCTCATGTTCTACGTAATCAATAAGTTAAAAATAATTTTTTTTAATTGGCGCGATTAATATGTATTGAGGAAGTATTTATCAACGAAATACTTTACTATTTTGGTCCCCCTTAAACTCACTCTTGTTAAAAAAAATATGAATTTGGAGTATTATTTATTGGATGAGTATCACCTACCAACATTTTATGCTTTATAAATCTTGGGATTTTTTTACAATTGTTCGAGTTGGCCTCTTCAGCAAAAAAAAAAATTCGCCATTTTTTAGTTTTTCCATTAATTATTAGGTGGGGGTAATATCAAAAAGGGAAGAAAAGAGAGAATTATGAATTGGTTCCGGAAACTATATTACTATTTATCAATACCAAGAATACCTTATCATTAACAAGATTATAATGAATTTGAGAATATAATGAATTTGAGAATTTCTCGTGAAGTGTATCAATCAAGAACCAAACACCTAGTCGAGCCTCTAAAAAGGTTAGCCTTATTTAACAACTAATATACCGACCAAAAAAACAAGAACACAACAACAAATAAACTAACACATTATTTAGTACGGAAATCCTATAAATTAATCTTAATATAAGCAGTATTTCTCGATTGGGTCCCCATTCTTTTTGTTTGGGGCACGAAAGTGACCCCATATTTATTATTATTATTATTATTATTATTGATATTTTATTTTTTTTCTTTGTTTTTGATTAGCAAAAAGTAAGGTGACCCAAACTTGGTCTTCTTCCACGGGTCACAGTCAGACACAAGAAACTTGTCAGGTGACCCGCCTTGGTCTTCGTCCACGGTTCACAGTCACGCACTTCGTATCCAACTGGGAAGATGCTCCGCGGGATCCCCGTCGCCCACATCCTCGCCGCCTCCCTCGTGGGGCTCGCCGCCGCCGCCGTGGCGAGCCGCCGCCGCCGCCGCGACCGGTGGCGAAGCCGCCATCGCCGTGTCATCCCACGTTTAGATCGGACCGAATCGGGCCGCCTCGCTAAGCTCGAGAGCTTCTCCGACTACGTGGGTGAGTCATTGACTTTGTTTTTCTTTTAAATTTAGACAGTGTTTGAACTTTTGACAGAGTAGGAAACGAAGTATTTTTTTCTTTTTCAAATGGTAAAGAAGCGTGTGTTGCTTGTGTGACAAATGATGCAGCTAGGCAACTGGGATTCGAAGATGGGAGGGAGTGCCCGCGGCTTAGCAAGCTGGCGATGGAGTACTTGAAGAGGACCAAAGGGTGTGGAGAGGAGTGCCCGCGGCTTAGCAAGCTGGCGATGGAGTACTTGAAGAGGACCAAAGGGTGTGGAGAGGACATCTGGGAGTTCTTCGCTAGCGAACCAGACGCAGAGTCGCTGTGCGACAAGCTCATGGATGAGTTCGAGCGATGCATCCTCAGTTACTTTGCGTTCCATTGGAGCCAAGCCCCTGCTATGATCAGTCAGGTAAATTTGGTATATACAGGACCGTCGAAAACTCGAAACCCCCACGAGTCGAACATCTCCGTGTCGGTCGATGCCTTTTCTTCAATGTTTGTGAATTGGGGTGATGTATCTGTGAATGGGATCTGATGATGAATGTGATAGGTGCTTAGTGCTGAGTCCGAGACTAAGACAAAGCTCAAGGGCTTTGTGCTGGCCGCTACAAGGTTAGTAATGCTGAGAACTATGTGGGATGAGTTTGGTTTTTGAGAATTGGAGTGGTGGACTAAGGACAATGGACTATGATTTGGGGCAGGAAACAGAGGTTTGAGAGGGTGGCCAGGGACCTAAAAGTGACGAGGGTGATAACCACTTTGGTAGAAGAGATGAAGCTGATCAGAGGGCCCGTGTGCAAGGGCGACGAATCGACAGAAGTGATGATGCCGGTGGCTCACAGTCAGAGAAGCCCGGTCCTCTTGCTCATCGGTGGAGGCACCGGAGCCGGAAAGAGCACCATCATCAAAGACATTCTTCAGCAGTAAATATCAGTTACCCTGTCTCTTTCTCTCATTTTCTACAAGATTAAGGACATTCCTTTTTCTCTTAATTGAAGAGAAGCTGGTTATAATCGGTTTCTTGGGGATATTTGCAGGCCACTCTGGGTTGAAGCAGCAAGTAATGCTGTGGTAGTGGAGATTGATGCATTCAAGGAGACGGATGTTCTGTATAAGGCACTCAATACAAAGGGTCGTCATAATGACATGCTTCATACCGCTGAACTGGTATGCATCTTCTTTCCTTAATAATTTTAAGGATTCCTCTTAAAATCACCGTTTATGTATGTGTTGTGGTTGTCTACCATTTCACTAACTTATATATCGACGAATGATAAAAGTCACTCGTGGAGAAAAATTTTGTAGGACTACTGCTCTAAAAATCTAGATGAAAATGTGATTTACCATTTAAAGACTTTGACATGTATGCAATGAGGATAGAAGCAATTTTTCCTAGGACTGCTTCCCTAGGGTGGCAATTCGCGTTTGCAGGTCGTGTTCATGTTGTGTCCAATAAGGGTATACTATGCAATAGGTTGACTGGAATATGACATGATTAGTTGATCGTGTAAACCTACTTGACATGAATGTCACCTGAAAAACATGTTGACATGGCACGATCCATGTGACACGATTAGATAACAGGTTGATGGGTCAACACAATTATGTGACCCGTTGAGACATGAAATCAACCCACCTGTACGAAATCAACCCATCAATACGAACTTGATAAAAATTGTTCTCAATTTTTCAAATATGCCTCTTTTAAGATTGATTATTTTTATGAGGTGTCTTACCACAATGAAAGATGATATGATTGATCAAGATTCGCGTCTACTTCATTTGAGCTGGAATAAGAGAGGGTTTACGGTTAGGATTAATGAACAATCTGAGACATGTATGATATCCTCACAACAGCGGCCCTTCTCTCGGCCTTTTAGTCTCCAAAACTATTAATCTACACTACAAGGCACTCACCTCCCAGAAACTTTTTGATTCACGGTATCCATAGAATGACAAGTGGAGAGCATGATCATGAAACCAATTCATCTTATCTAACTAACAGAATAATTCTAACTTTTTAATGCCATCGGCATCAAGTGTTAATGAAGGGAACAAAGTGTTTAAAAGATCATTGAAGAGTGTATGCAGATTGAAAACTTAGCCAATTTTTATTCCAACTTCTCGCTGAACTTAGCCTCCTGTATGAAAGACTGAGTGCATTAGAAACCTTTTGCATACAACCCACGGGCACCATAAGATGTTCTTACAGGACAATAATATGAAGTGCCGTAGACAAGATATAAGCACACATGCATCTACAAGATGCTTTTACAGGATAACTTTTCCAAGAGGGAAGGACGATAAAGAAAAGTATTTTGGCCAAAAATAGTGGCCAATGTTACTCATAATAATATAATACAACCATGGAAAAATTATCAAAAAAGTCCTAAACCTATTGTATATGTGCTAATTCAGTCATAAACCTTTTAATTGTGCTAATTTTGTCATAAACCTTTCAACGATTTGCTGATTTAATCTTAAATTTTTTTACGATTTGCCAATTTAGTCATTCCGGTTTGGTCGAAAATCATTGATGTGGCGATCTAGTCAGCGCTGGCCATCATACATGGCACGATCAGCGTTGACGTGGACGATTTCTTAATTTTTTTAATTTTTTTTTTAATTTGTTATTTTTTTTTCATTTTTCTTTCTTTTTTCTAATCTTAGGCCAGCCGACCCTCTCCTAGTATGGGCGAGGGTGTCGTGGCCCTCATCAGCCACGAACGAGGGCTTCCGTGCCCTCGTTGGCCACAGGTGAGGGTGTCGGCCCTGGCCTAGACCAGGCAAGGGCGTTGGGCGAGGCAAGGGCCGGGACGCCCTCACCGGCCAACTTGTGAGGGTCACGGCCCTCGCCTGGTTCTGGGAGGAGGTCTAGGAGGCCCATCCTTTGACTTTGATCCTCCATATCTTATCCCCCAGCAACATTAGAGCTTATTTCTACAGGATAATTATTCATTGGTGGTAGAGATCTTATAGGTTGTGGATGTTTTACAACTTTGCAGGAAGATTCTATGTTCGTCCAAGCAATTATGTCCTCCCCATATAACCTAGCTGTATATATTTTATGGTAAAGGTATACAACTCCTTTGGATTTAGCATTGCAGATCTTCCAGCTGAATACACAGAAATTCAAAGAATTCTCTGTGGAAAAAATCATACTGTTTTCCAGTCATATGGTCGCGTGCTTACCCAGAAGAGGTGCCATGGGATTATTTCGAAGCATATGAAAAGACTAGAGAGGTCATCCATCAAGTTTTACAAGAATACAGAATGAATTAGCCATAACCTATGGATTTTTCCAGAACCCTTGGGATTATGGAGACCATGGCTCTAAGCTTAGCTCCTAAATTTGATTAACTGGCCACGAGAAAGTATCAATCTAGACAGGTGGCGACCAAATTCCAGACCCAGCATGTGACCTTCAAGACTCGGCTGCAACAATGAACAAATAGACCTCAATCTCTGGCTAGGACTAAGCACTAGCCTAGAAAATCAAGACTTAAGCTTAGATGATGCAGCCCTGATCTTGATCTAGATCACGAGCCCTTTAGGAAGTACTAGCTATAGCAAAGCAATGGTCGTTGTATTGCACTGTGTGAAACGCTAGTCACTACTTTTGGCCAAAGTACTTATTTATTGTCCTTCTATCTGAAAAATTGTCTGGTGAAAGAATCTTGCATATGTATGTGTGGTCGTACTTTATTATCAAATATTATTGTCCTCTAAGAGCCCATGTATTGTACGCAAAAGGTGTGTCATGTCCTTAGCTTTTCGATTATAAAGCTAACTTCTATGATAAGTTGGGATAAAAGTCGGGCTAAAATTTCCATCTATATATACTCTCCAATGGTCTTCTAAACACTTTTTTTTCTACCTCAAGGCGTGATGGCATTAGAAAGTTAGGATCATTTTGTTGGACTAATAAGTTGAGTTGGTTTCACGAGCATGCTTTCTACTTACCACTGTGTGGATCCTGTAAATCAGAAAGCTTATGAGGCCTTGTGCCTTATAATATAGATTGATAAAGTCTGGAGACTAAAAGCAATCCCTTTTGTAGGCCTAGAGAAGGACTGTTATTGTGGGGATAGGATACCGTCGCAGATTGTTTGATAATTTTTACCATAAACCCTCCATGGTATCACTAGGTATAGAATTATAATCTTATATTTGTCAACAAAATACCATCAAATCATATTTAAAACATTTTGGTAGTCAATGAAGAATCATCAATTCGAAATCTTAGTATTCGATAGCATTAAAAAAATATTCTTGTAGCTAATTGTGTAACAACGGGTTAGATACAAGTCATGTCAACATTAATCTGTTAATTCAAGCGCATTATACGAGTCAATTTTGTGTTGGCGGGTTAGACACGAACATGACAAGATTATTACTCGTGTCACATTGGTTGACACGAAATTGACCCGAACACAACAAGCCTCAATCCAAATCGTCTAATTTCTTCTCGTGGTCAAGTCGTATTATCGTGTCATGTTAGAAATTGTCATTTCTATACTCGCATCACAAGGGCCTCAAGGTAACTGGGGGTTGGATTTGGTGCTGTAGTTATTACGGGCCGAGCCCAGCAACACCTAGCCCACAAAATTACTAAGAAATTTTTGTTGATAGGTAGGTCTAGGCAACGAGCTAGGCCCCATGCATAAGTTCGATCCGGCGAGAGATCGCCTTTTGATCACGTCTACATAGCTGATGCATCCAGTATTACATGTGTTTGGTTCATCCACCGCTTTTAAGTTTATAATAAAGCCTCAGAGTTCGATGCTAAAGCCTCCCTCATACTCCCAACGTACACCAGGTTCACCAGTCATCTGCAGATGCAGCATCCTCGCTTCTGGTGACTGCACTCAATGAGGGAAGAGACGTGATCCTGGATAGCACACTGTCATGGGAGCCGTTCGTTGAGCAGACAGTCACGATGGCTCGGAATGTCCACAGACATCGTTATAGAATGGGGGTCGGATATAAGGTGGCCGCCGACGGCACCGTCACCGAGGACTATTGGGAGCAAGTTCCGGAAGACGAACAAGACGAACCAAATCCCCACAGAAAGCCGTACCGAATCGAGCTGTTGGGAATTGTGTGTGATCCTTATCTCGCCGTGGTGAGAGGCATTAGGTAAAACTCGCTTGCTATTGTTGATGTCTTTGTGTCGTGTGGTGGAATGTCATGGTTTTGTACAAGGCTCACGTTGACGAGTGTTTCAGAAGCATCGATTGGCAAACTTAGCCAATGTTACAACAACGTTTCACTCGATTGCTTGGCAATGAGGAGATTATGTTTAGCCAAATCGTCGTTGGTATGACTCGCGTCGATGTATTTATTTGAACGCAGGAGAGCCATAATCGAAGGAAGAGCTGTAAGAGTGAATACACAACTCAAATCCCACAAGAGATTTGCGGACGCATTTCGGAGGTATTGCCTGCTCGTGGACAGTGCCAGGCTCTATCGCACCAGCGCCATGAGTGGCTCACCTGCGGTAACTTGTTAATGACGTCTTGTTTGTGCTGTATAGTTATATTACGATGGAACGACTTAGTTTTCTAAGTGGAGTGATGGAAAAAGTAAGGAACCAAATTAGTTTTATAGGATTCCATGTAGATGTTTTCACACTTTGAATTGAATTCGAGTGTATTTGGGTGAATGCAGTTGATAGCATGGAAAGATGGGGACAGCAAGCTGCTTGTTGATCCGGACGAGATCGAGTGTTTGGCCACCATAGGCAAATTGAATCCGGATGCAGACTCCGTAGGTGAGCTTTACCCGGATCCGAGCCCACTCCACAAACCCGGGTCGGTTTGGAACGATGTCGTTCTCTCGCCGTCGAGGCCAACCATCCTTTCGGAACTGAGGACTGCGGTTAAGAAAGTTGAAAACCAGGCAATTTGAAAGTCTTGGAATTTAACCCTAAGTTTTGATTTAATCCTTGTTTTGTTTGGGATTTGCCCTTTGTTCGTGAAGAGAGGATAAATCCAAAGATATGTTAGATCGATTGGCTTGCATAGTGCTTTATGGCTGTGTTTGGGAACACTTTGGGAGAAAATCTTTGGAAAAATGCAAAGGATTTTAAGTTAAAGGAGTTTTTCAAAATGCAAAATTCTGTTTGTTAAATGGTAATTTAAAAGTCCATTGCAAAGCAACTTTGGGTAAAATAGTATTTGGAAAAATTATTTTTGCAAGGGACTTTTCTTATTTTTTAATAAAAAAAAGTTCGAACCCTTCGTCGGAGCCAGCAAAGGGCAGGCGGTCGGTGTCACGGCGACCCAGATCTGGCACTGGCGATCGTAGTCTGAGGTCAAACGACCTCAGGTAGCCCCCGGCAACCACCGACGAGGGTTGCTTGGTCGAGGGTCGCGAAACTGAGGTGAGGGCCGTTGGCGACCCAGATCTGGCGTCGGCGGCCGTCGTCTAAGGTCGAACGACCTCAGGCAGCCCCCGATGATCACCAACGAGGGCCGCTTGGGCTCGAGCGACCCCCGACGAGGGTTGCGAAACCCAAGCGAGGGTTGCTTGGGGTCACGCGACCCCTTAAGGAGGTCGCTCGACCCTGGTGAGGGCCGTCTGGGTCGCACGACCCCAAGTGACCCCTCGCCAAGGTTGTGCGACCCTCGAGGATCGTCTCGGTAGCTTGACCTCAGGCGACCTTACTTGAATCACGTAGCGCCTCTCTAAGGTCACGTGAGTTCCTGGCGAGGATTGTCTAGGTCGCGCAACCTCAGACTGCCCTCGCCTGGGTCGCGTAGCGCCTCGCGGTGGTCGTGCGACCCTAGGCAACGGTCGCTGGGTTGCGCGACCACGCCGGCCCCTCTCTAGCCCGTCGCCGTCCCCTCATAGCCACGTGCAACCACGTCGGTTGAGCTAAGTGGAGAAGATGATGAAGTGTGATAAACAAGGGCAAAATTGAAAAACCAAAAAATAGATGATGGTAGTTTTGGAAGAAATTTTTTTTACTTATCCAGGAGTCTTGCATGTCGAGAAAGCTAAAAGCCCAATGTAGCCTAGGATCTGCCTTGGGCTTTCACCCTTCGTAAAGCTGACTTTTGCTAAATGAGGTTTGTAAAATTGTTCCCAAACACTTATATTTTGGTTCAAGGGGCCTTGGAAAGCCCTTCCCAAACGCACCCATATGTATAGTTGCAACTTAGAAATGAAGCTATTTTAAACTAAGAACAGAAAGGTTGCATATATAAAAAAGGACTTAGACTATAGACTATTCCACTCTAAATAACAGCTTGAAACTACAAAAACATAAGCATTGCATATTGAGTCATTTATAATTCATTTAGACTTTCTTTCCATGAATCTCTCTCTCTCTCTCCCCCCAATAATGCATAGTTTTTGTCATTCTCGTGAGACATTTATTGGTTTTTCCTCATTTTTTATTATAAAAAGGAACACGAACAACTCATGAACAACTGGCGTGGGACCATCTTTGTGGATAGGACCATAGCAAAAGCGAAGGCAAACGATCCTACTACGAAACAAAGCTATATAGATATTAAAACAAGCAATTATAGCATATTGTGATGGGTGTAAATCAATAATTTAGACAAGTAGCTTTAAACCTGAGAGACGGGGGTGGTTATAGCCCTCAAATCAAGGGCGGGCAAAGGCCGCTTGTGTAAGATTTCCTATACATAAGTAGTGTATGCTCTATTTATCTTATAAAATTTATTAAAAAATTCAATTGCGTACAAACTATTTTATGTCGAGTCATTTGCACGAGTCAAAAGTCTGAACTTAAATCGATCCATTGAGCTTGGGGTGTTCAATGGGCCTCTAGGTAGCCGGTTTTTGTGGCCGTACCCGTGTGTTATCAAAACGTTTAAAAGAAAATTACCAGAAAAATTGCAGAATACCTTGTGTTAGTGAATATACTCAGGACTAGGGTTGTAAAAAAAACCGAATCAAACCGTTAGGGGTGCACCCTTGAGCCGAACTGAATCTCGCTCGAACCGAATATGAACCGAACCGAACCGAAAAACCGGTTTGGTTCGGTTTCGTTCAACTCAGTTTTCGATTTTTTCTTATTTTTTCTGAAAGTGTCGAGGAGGCGGAGGAGAGGGCATTCGGACCCAACAAGCTCGTTGAAGTGCACACACGATCTCTCTCTCTCTCTCTCTCGTCCACTTCTCTCTCCCACAGCGCCCCTCCCCTTTTTTCTTTACTCTTCTTTCTTTGGTACCCAGTGACGCAAGCGAGAAAGCAAAGCAAGAAAAAGGAAGCCGAAGAAGCACCACCACCACTTCCCTCTGTTTCCTCCTCTTCATTATGTCTCCCCATGCTCGCACGATCTCACGCTTCGCAAATCTTGATCCTTCTCGAGATGGGTCTCTCCGTCGCTCGATCCCTCCACCGCCCTTTGCCTTCCCTTGCTTTCTCGTGCTGGTTCTGGGATCAATCTTATTGGGTATTTCTGTTTTTTGGGGTGCTCTGTTTCTTTATATGGGTGTCCAAGATTCGCTGTGGTGGTCGTCGCCGAAACCGAAACCTATGCACACATACTCCGATGCGAATGAGGTACGATACGAGCACGGGTCGACCAGAACAGCAACTTTTCCCACCTGTGCTCGCGAACCAACATCGCATCTACCTCGAATCCGAGCCATTTCGTCCGAGTTCTCCTTGTCGATCACAGGAACTCCGCAGAATCTCGCTTGTTCGAGCGCCACTTCTGCTAGATCTTCGCCGTCTCTTCACCGTGAGGCTGCCATTGCAGAATGCCACATGGCCACAGCCGTCTGGGTGCTCGCACGGCGGAGAGAGGGGCTGAGCTGAGCAGCACCAACAGAGAGGATTTAGCCCTTTGTGGTTTTAGCCCTTTTAGCTTTAGGGTAAAAACCGAAAGGTTATTTTCAGTTCGGTTTCGGTTCGATCCGAAAACTGAACTGAAAAAAAAAAGAATGGTTAATTTTCATTATCCAAATCGAAAATCGAACCGAACCGAAATGCATAAAATTTTTTGTTCGGTTTGTATCTCGGTTCAATTTTTCGGATCGGTTCCGACACCCATACTCAGGACATGATTCACCTGTCCGTTAGAATAGGCCATCTTCGACTATATTTACAATGAGAGCTTTTGTAGGTCAATGTTCCAGTACATATATTAACTACTGAGACTCAAAGTGTGAAAATGAATAGAAAAGTTGGCATAACCTTGAAGGCTGTATCTGATCTACGGGACAACGATTGTGATAGAGTAAAATAAAACAGGATAAGAAATGTGAATGATACATTATATCATATCTTCTGTTTGGTAAAATAGCTGGCATCACGAGAGATATTGTAATTAAAAATAAAAAATAAAAAATAAAAAATTGGGATAGGAAATTGCGGTGGTTGACTGTGAACCACCGTTGTTGTGATGGTCAGCTTGGTGACCATCGTAGTTGTAGTCGTGTCTGTCGCGGTGGTGGCCTAAGACCAATGCAAAAGAAAGAGGGGACTCCATCGTCCCGGTGTGTCGCCTATTAACCACATCAACCACCAACGACATTGAAAGAGGGTGATGAAAATAGGAGCGAGGGACCAAGATTTCTTAGGCGGGTCGTCAAAGAGTTGCAACCATCGTGAGTGGTTACAAAGGTGGCTAGCAAGGACCATTTAGAATGGGTGAATAAATGATTTAAAAAATTCTTGACCAATTTAAAGCGGAAGTAAAAGATCAAAAATAAAGTCTAAATAACATTCAGATTTAAAATAGATTTTGATAGCAATTGTGCAAGTGTGCAATGTAATAAAAGAAACGAGTTTTAACGGATAAGAAAATCTGCACACAAGACATACAGTGGTCCGGCTTAGATCAAGCCTACATCCATTCTCCTATGCTAATAGCCTATTGGCTGGATTTCACTAGATGATCAATAAAGAGATTACTACTGTAAGTGATAAGCCTTAGTGTATGATACATCTCACTATCTCACTCAATCACTCTTTTCAGTTTCTCTCAAAGATTACACTTTAAAGCTTACGAAAGATAAGTATATAGATTGAAGATCGCTCAGATTTTGGAATTCTAGATTCTAGACCTCGTCTCTTGCTTCTGCTCCTCGACATTTGGTCTCCTTTTATACTCATCCACTTCCAATCTAGCCGTTGGATGGAACTATATCAAGAAGATTAAGTAACCGCTGAGGGACAAAATCTGAATCTCCACTTAATCTGATCGCCCATACAATCAAAATCTTGATTTCTATAAGTAGGGCTTTTCCGCTTAGAAAATAACTTGCCTTGAGATTAATTGCTAATCAATTACGATGTTTTGCATATTAAACAATTGCAAAACAATCTTCAAGATTGAGGCAATCAAATCTGTTTATATGTGAAATCCGAGCCAGATCACTAACCGTTATGTACGTTCTGAATTTATGCCAAAATATGGATTTATATCGTCTGGACATGTATTCAGAATTTATGTCAGGATGGGTTGTTCTTTAAAGTTTGAATCCTTCATTTCCAGTGTAAAGTCTGAACTTCTTCATCTGTCGTATAAAGTCTATACCTCTTTTACTTGAAGTAAATTCCACAATTTGAACTTGAACAAGATCAAGATTGCCATATGCTTTTCTTCCAAGAATAACTTCCTGAATTAAAATACTTCAAGGTATTTATCAGACTTATAAGATACACATGGATAGTTTTGTCAACTTCAAAATCTATTAGGAGGTTTTCTCAATAGTTACTAGCGGCACCAGCAATGGTGCTAGTGTTGTTGTCGCATAAGGCTTCTACCCTTTTTATTTTTCTAATTTCTTTGGGAAATTGTCCAAAAAGTCTTATACATGTTGTATGGAGGCTAATTCAGTCATAAACCTTTTAATTGTGCCAATTAAATCCTAAATCTTTTGACGATTTGTCAATTCAATCATAAACCTTTTAATTGTGTCAATTTAATCCTAAACATTTTAACGATTTGTTAATAAATATCTTTCAGCTAATTATCCAAATAATATATTTAGGACTAACTTGGCAAATTTTCAAAAGGTTTTATGACTAAATTGATAGAATTGAATGGTTTAGCACTATATTGACAAATTGTCAAAATGTTTATGTTTAAATCGGAACAATTGAACGGTTTAGGACTGAATTGGCCATCGTACAATAGGTTTACGACTTTTGGATAATCATCCCATATTTTAAAGTTCTCTAATTCTCTTTGGGTGGGATTATTTTATCTCATCCCCTATTGCTTGGATCAATTATTTGACATTTCATTCAGACTTTGTAATGATTAGGTCTAACGAGAGCGAGGAGTGGTCGGGGAGGCCAGAGGGGCTGGATAAGAAGTGGCTCCTAGTAGGTTTTTAGGATGGCGAATGGGGCATAAATGAATTGAATTGTGCATCGAACAAGGGGAGATCGATTTTAGAATATTTATGTGAAAATTGGAATTAACTTATGGAGGCTCCCTTTGACGTAACAGCAATACATAGATTTGGAATTTCAAAGTTAAACATGCTCAGGTGGGAACACTCCCAGGATGGGTGATCTCTTAAGAATGTGCTCACTTGTACGTTAAAGGACAAAATCGTGAGGTTCAATATGGGACGAGCCAAAGTGGACAATACTTCAATGAATTGATCTAGGAATGTCAGAATATGGTATCACAGTGGGACCCCCTTTCTAATAGATGTGTGGTTAGGCTATGACTAGGCGGAAGCTTGTGGGCCTATAACAACCTGGTCAGACGAGGCGAGGAGTGGTCGCCGAGACAGAGGGTCTGGATAATGAGATGCTCCTAGCATGCTTCGTGGATGGCAAATGGGGTAAGAATGAATCAAACTGTGCACCAAACAGGGGAAGAGCAATTCTTGAATATATATGTGAAAATTGGAATTAACTCATAATAAGTGCCTTTTGACGTTTATTGCAATGCTTAACTTTGAAACTCCAAAGTTAAGCGTGCTTATGTGGGAGCGCTCCTAAGATGGGTGACCTACTAGGAATGTGCCCAACTGTACGCCAAATGACAAAATCGTGAAGCTTGGTATGAGATGGGCTAAAGCGGACAATACCTCAATGAGTTAATGTAGGGATGTTATAAACTTTATCCTAGTTCTAGGTGATTTTTATAATATTTGGCTTTTTATGAAGACAATCAAACACATTCTAAAGGGTTAGCTTAATGCTAAGAAGCGGGCTTTTGCGTGTGGTTTAGGAGTACCCTCGAGTTTCAAGATGCCGTGTGTGCAAACAATTTCCATCCATCGAAGCTGTATATGGCGTCTTACATGATATAGGAGGTTAGCATGACATTTCTTCCACATAAATTTTAGGTGCATTCCCTCATATTTATAATGGAATTTAGCCTAAGATTCAAGTGTGGAAATATATAATAGTGGAGACAAATAAGAGCTTGGAAAGTTTTGAACTTGAGACTTTCTGCTTTGAATTTATGTAAAATTTTTATAGGATCATTGTTAACTGTTCTATAAATTTAAGCCGTTAGAGATTATGGTGTGATCAACATTAAAAACTTACACATATTGCTTTTAAAAAAGGGAAAACCAAAACGAAAATTAACATGTCATTATCTTTCAGCATTAAAGGAAGAGAGAAAATGACACTGGCAGTGTCATTATTTTCATACGACGATCACTTTGATGTCATAACTTTGTGAACGATCATTTCGGTACTATAACTTTTAAAAAAACTATTATTTGAGTTACACCGACGATTTTCTTGCTTTAAATTCCTACATGGCATTAATGCAATATTAAATCATCCGACATGACTCTTCAGATAGATGATGACAGATGTGAATGATCATTTCAATGTTATAACTTAAAAAAAAACTATTATTTGAGTTGCTCTAGCGATTTTCTTGCTTGAAATTCCTATGTGGCATTAATTCAATATCAAATCATCGGACGTGACTCGTCGGAGAAATGATGAAAGCAAAAATGTTCTAAAAGGACTGTTTAAGACCTTTCTTGCCCTCAATTTGAGGATTTGGAACTAAATTAGGTTGAAATCAAAACCATTTTTCAATTGAAACAAAAAGTTAATGATTCACTTCGGACACCACCAGCACCACCACAATATCAATTTTAACAAGTTGCATCCCAGCACCTAATTAATTACTTTGACAGTTATGACATCTAAGGGAGCACTACTAGCGTCCAGTCCGTTAAAAAAAATGATGATATGGCATTGTATCTGTCATTACATGATTGAGAGGATTAAATCGGAGAATGTGAGGATCATATGTATCAGCTTCGGTGCGTGAATCACGTGGTCTGGCGACTGCATTATGCAAGAGTAATATTGAAAAACCTGCAAATTACATAAGAGATTAAACAATTAAAGAGAGACAATTGAAGAAAGAGGCCAAGAAAATGACACGCATATACCCTTTCTTCTTTTATCAGATAATCACCAGATATTCCTGAAAAAGATACTTGTTTATTACCACCAGTCGGGTGTGCCCCACCATATATTGCACGATGAGCTTTCAGATTGGACTCGCAGATCTATGCATAATTAAAGACTTGTCAAATCATCTCCATCTCTCCAAAGTTCTGAGAGACCTTGCACGATTTCATCACCGGTTCCGCTGATCACCCGTCGAGCTTTTGAGAAGATGCAACATGGTGAGACATCTCCCTCTCGCTCTCTCTCTCTCTCTCTCTCTCTCTCCCTCTCTCGTAAGAGTTTCTTCCACAAACCCTTTCATCCTTTTCAGATGGCTACGGAGAATTCGGGGTCGCGGACATTGTCGCCGCCACCATCGTGGGACTGGCGGCCACCTATGCCAGTCGACGGCGTCGGAGGCCAAGCAGCTCTAAGCCGGCGAAGGATCACGACGACGTTGTCCCCCGATTGGACAGGACCCAATCAGGCCACCTCGCGAAGCTCGAGCGCTTCTCCAACTACGTCGGTAAGGACATCCATAGGGCGAACTCATTTTCCGAAGCTCGATTGGTCATCTGTTTGCAGCTAATCTAATGACATTCGTGAAAAACGGTTTGCAGCTAGGCAAATGGGGTTTAAAGACGAGAGCGAGTGTCCACAGCTAAGCAAGCTGGCGATCGAGTACTTGAAGAGGAGCAAAGGGTGTGAAGAGAACATATACGAGTTCTTCGCTAGCGAAGAAGATGCAGAGTCGCTGCGCGAGAAGCTTGTGGAAGAGCTCGAGAGAAGCATCCTCAGCTACTTCGCATTCCATTGGAGCCAAGCTTCTTCCATGATCAATCAGGTCAAGAGCTGAAATAAACCCATGAACCGGACAACCCTAAATCCGGTCAACGTTTCTTGATCTGCTCCTGCAACTGTGTTTTGTGACATCTTTTTCGGTTTCGGGGGTCATTTGATTCTTGATGAGCAGGTGTTGAGTACTGAGACTGAGGAGAAAGCGAAGTTCAAGGGCTTCGTGTTGGCAGCAACAAGGTCAGTCTGCTCTCTTTCCCTTCTCTTGTTAGCCTCGCCCGTGTAAACTTTTTGATTATCTTTCGATCAAAAAACTGAATTTATCTCGGAATATAACTTTACACCTCCCATTATATTATCTTCCTGATAATTGTCAAATCGGCAATAATTGTTTCCACTATGGCTTCTCTCTCTGTCCCACCCATTTTTTGACTAAATTTAATGATGCCATATGCTACTAATTATAGTGCAAGTTGCTTTAGCAATCGAATTGATTTGATTATAGGAAGACATTATCTTTTTCTCGGTCAAGTAAAATGTATTATAGTGCCACTTGCATTTTTGGTGCGTAGATCATCGAGTGAGTCCAATGGTTCGGACAGTCATATAGGTGAGGTGCGAAATTACTAGATATCGTTTATTTATATCGTGTTTTAAATTTCTCGGGCGCATTGACCTAATTCACGAGAATGATTATATATACATTTGAGTGGGTTTCGTTAATGTACTTTCCTTGCTTTCACATGCATTTTACCCTTTCATCCGTCTCAATAGTCTCTTTCAAGATTCCGTCAATATCGGGGACGAAAGGATTAGTCAATTAAAGATCTCGAAAGATCATTTTTGGATTCTATGCAATTCTTTAATCATTCCATACCGGGAATGCGTTGGCGTACTGATAGTTAATTTGTGGATTAGCCACACACGAAGCTCATTAAATAATTTTTTGGGAACAACTAATGAGCGCACTAAATAACCTAATCTCATCTCGGAGTGACCCATAAGTCCACATCCGCAGGTCCACATATGGAGGACTATTAGGGCATCGTGGAAGTCTTTTAGAGCCGACAGTTGAATGTCCGGCAAATAATTTAGAGTGAATATCATAGAAATCCTAAACTGGTACGTCTGTGATAAATTTACCTCAAACAAATTTGTTGACCATCAAAAACCCCAAACTGGTATACCTGTGACAAATTTACCATTAATTAGTTTCCGTTAATTTTTACCATCATTTTGCTGAGTTAGATGACACGTGGCAGTTGACGGGTGTACCGGTTTGGGGGTTTTATCCTTTATTTGTCACGGGTGTATCGGTTTGGGATTTTTCGTGGTATTAATCCAACTTAACGGAAACTAATGAAGGGTAACTTTATTACAAGTGTGCCAGTTTAGGGTTTTTGGTGGTCAAAAAATTAATTTGGGTAAATTTGTCAAATGTGTACTAGTTTGGAGTTTTTTGTGGTCAAAAAATTAGTTTGTGGTAAATTTGTCACAGGTGTACCAATTTGGGGTTTTTTGTGGTATTAATCCAATAATCTAATTTAGGCTTCGTTTATTTCGCGAAAAAAGAATAATTTAAATTTTTTTCTAGGAATGAACTTGTATCGCTTGAAAAAATTAGTCAACAGAAAATATTTTCACTGTCGACAACAATTTATGTTTAAACATTTTCGCGGGCTGTGAAAATATATTCATTTTTCTAAACGATATAAGTGATCGTTTTTTGGAAAATAGTTTCTAAATCATTCATTTTCCACGAAATAGACGAAGCCTTAGAGGCAAATTAAGCAATGGTGTATATGTGCATAATGAAACTCATCTACTAGATCGCTGGGCAAATCTTAAATGATTTGGTTAATGATAGTGCTCCTTGCATGATAATTTTTGCATGTTGCTACACTTTGTGATCGACAATTTTTTTGGGGAAACTATAGTTTAAGAGTCAATATCATCATCTTGAATTGTTAATTTTTCTTTGTGACTTCTCTTTCGTTGTGCAATATGCTTTCCATGCATATTTCTTGGTCGGTTTTTAACATCTTGATGGGAGAACAAAAGATTCTTCTAACACCGTATAGAGCAAGGACTTTAGACATGCATCCTAGCACACCGTCTCTGTTTCTTTTCTCTTTTATATAAGCGGTCAGGTGATGTCCAAATTAGCTTTGCAAATATCAATCGGTTCACTTTCTCGGGCGATTTTATGGAGCGTATTTCCACACATGGGCCTGATGCGTTCGGGATTTTATTCCTGGAGTGCTCCCACTTAGACTTGAGCCAAAAACCACCATCTTAATTTTCATCATGATTTGTTTTTCATGTTACTTTGTATATTTTCCTCCTTTCAGTGATCTGTTTGTTAGTACATAAACCTACAATTTAAACGTCATTTTTCTAATTAAGTGTAAGGCCCGACTTACATATGAGATTGAAAATTGCGAAATATGCTATATAATGTATGTATAGCACACTTACTTCTTAACATCCTTCAAATTTTCTAGCCAAAAAAGAAAAAAAAAACAGCTTTCGACCATTTGATGAAAGTTGCGATATGTTTGCTCTTTGACTGCAACAGGAAACAGAGATTTGAGAGGGTGACCGAGGACTTGAAGGTAACGAGGGTTTTCTCTACTTTAGTAAATGAGATGAAGGTGATCGGCGGGTCTGTACACAAAGGCGACGAGTGCGTCGACGTGATGGTCCCGGTGGCTCTCAGTGAGAGAAGCCCGGTCCTCTTGTTCATGGGTGGAGGCATGGGAGCAGGGAAGAGCACCGTCCTTAAAGACATCCTTAAACAGTAAATACTGCACACATCTTTTTCCCACTTGTTTCTGCATATGATCTTGGATTGCCCTTTTCGGAATGGATTGGATCGAGAATCTCTAGCAAGAATCAGCGGAATATTTCTCTCCTAATCAAGAAGATTGAACTGGTTTGTTGGGGGGTTTTTTGGCAGACCATTTTGGGCCGAAGCAGCGGCAAATGCGGTGGTTGTGGAGGCCGACGCATTCAAGGAGACAGATGTTATATATAAGGCCCTCAATTCAAAGGGTCGTCATGGCGACATGCTCCAAACTGCTGAATTGGTGTGCATCATTCGTCCCTAGCTTCTCGTTAATCTCTTGATCTTTGCCTAGCTTATATCTGCTGACCATAGTAATATGTGGGACTCGCGCGCTCTGTATCGTGTACCCTCGACACGCAGGTTCACCAGTCATCAACCGATGCTGCATCTTCAGTTCTGGTGACCGCACTCAATGAAGGAAGAGACGTGATCATGGATGGCACACTTGCGTGGGAGCCGTTTGTGAATCAGACGATCGAGATGGTTCGTAATGTCCACAAGTCTCGTTACCGAATGGGGGTCGGATACAAGGTCGCCAGCGATGGCACCATCACCGAGAACTATTGGGAGCGAATTCCGGATGGTGAAGAAGGGGAAGAAGAAGGAGAACATGGTAATGATCTCAATAGGAAGCCGTACAGAATCGAGCTTGTTGGGGTTGTATGTGATGCTTATCTTGCTGTCATCAGAGGCATTAGGTAACAGTCTCCTACCTCTTCGGCAGGGTTCAGATGGTGTATTTACACTGAGTTAATGCTATGTATAGATCGCACTGATTGACTAATCAATTGATCACGTCTGTTTCGACATTAACACAGAAGAGCCATAATCACGGGTAGAGCTGTGAGAGTGAACTCCCAGCTGAAGTCCCACAAGAGATTCGCAGAAGCATTTCCAAGGTATTGCCAGCTCGTTGACAACGCCAGGCTCTATTGTACCAATGCTACGGGTGGCTCACCTTCGGTAAGTCTTGTTCACTTTCCACAGTAACAGATGACAATGTTTTCGAGATAATCTCACTGTCGTTAACAAAACTTTCGTTCAACAGAAAAATGTCATCCATGAACCTTCGATTGGTTCGATTGGATTCAGGAATAGTTTTGACCGACATGCAACGTCATTCCTAAATTCTAATTGGTTCATTGGGTTCCTAAACTTTTATCCATAATCATGCCATTCTCATATTTCGCAGCGAGTTGCTCATCCATGCGAAATTCCCGTTCCGCGATTCGCTTATCAACCGTTTTACCTGTCTTATAAGTCCTAATCAATGACGATGGATTAGCCTATGCAATTAGTTATCTTGTCCCTGTTAATAGCTTTCTCATGGACGAGAAATTTGATTATTTTGGAGTGTGGGAAATGCAGTTGATGGCATGGAAAGATGGGGGAAACAAATTACTTGTTGATCCAGAAGAGATCAAGTGGCTGACTGCATTGAGCAAATTGAACCCGGACGCCGAATCCATATATGAACTTTACCCGGATCCGAGCCCGATCTACGAACCTGGTTCGGTTTGGAACGGTGTTCTTCTATCACCATCAAGGGCAAGTCTCCTTTCCGAGTTGATGGCCGTCGTTAAGAAGGTCGAAGACCAAAAGAGGTGAAGTCTCGGTCTCGTGAGTCAGCTGGCCAATCCCCCTCTAATCGAATGGCTGGCTTATGTCGAACGCTTGTGCTTTTGCTTTTCTCATCTCTTGTTTGTACATTGATTTGATATTTGTGTATTTGACATGCGGAGAGGAAAGCCCCATATCTTGTTATCGGCTCATATGGTATTTTTATAATTGGGTTAATATCACGAAAAATCTCAACTTGGTACACCTGTGACAACCCAAATTAATTTTTTGATCACCAAAAATCTCAAATCGATACAATTGTGACAAATTTATCCAAGATTAATTTTTTGACCACCAAAAACCTCAAAATGGTATATCTATGATAAATTTATCCCAAATTAATTTTTTGATCACCTAACGGAAGGTAAATTTATTACATGTGTACTAGTTTGGAGTTTTTGGTGGTCAAAAAATTAGTTTTGTGTAAATTTGTCACAAATGTATCGGTTTGAGGTTTTTCATGGTATTAACCATTTATAATTATAGGGAAAAAGCTACCAAAACCTCCAAGTTATAATCACTACGACGCAATTATCATGAATTTTTTTGGGAAAAATTACAAAAAAAGTCAATAAACTTATTGTAATTGTGTCAATTCAGTCTATTTGACCAATTTTGATCGGCTTGCGCTAACACGAACGCTAGCTGTTTGGCCGATGCTGATATGGTAATTTTTTAATAATTTTTTTCGAATTTTTTTCTATTTCTTTTTTCTTCCTTCTTTTCTTTTTTTTTTTTCACCACACCGCCCACTGAGTGAAGACCGCAAAGCCCTCGCCCGGCCTCGCCCGAATTTGGGCATGGCCAGCCTCGCCCGCGGCTAGTGAGGCCATGGCCGTCTCGCACGCAGCCCCAAGCGTCGCTCCCATATTGCAAGACAAAGGCGAGGTCGCCTCGCCTACAGCCCCCAGGCCTAGCCCAGTGGTCGGCCAGCCTCATTGGCCAATATGGGAAAAAAAACAGAAGGAAGAAAAGAAAAATAAAAGGAAAATAAAAAATATTTAAAAAATTGTCAAGTCAAGGTTGGCTGGATGCCCGGCGTCTATGTCAGTGCCAAAATTAGTCAGATGGATTGAATCAGCACAAATGAAAAATATTTAGGACTAAATTGGCCAAAAAAAGTTAGGATTGAATTGGCACAATTGCAATAAGATTAAGACTTTTTTGGTAAATTTCCCATGTTTTTATGAAAAAAAAAATCCCAAAATCGTACTTATGTAATATATCAACCCTCCGTCAAGTTTCCCTCAATGAACATGGTTAAAAATTTACTTACATGAACAACTGAAGGTTAACGATGTTGACATGATGCCCGAGTGGCTTAAGTGAAGTAAAAACGATATTTTAGCTGGAAAATCATTTGACGAAACTTTGACCGAAGGTAATTGTATCACACTGGTACGAGTTCATGATGTTTTAAGTCACAATAAAATTTTTTGATTAAATATGTCACAGTGAGCATAGTTTGAGGTTTTTTATATTACAAAAAAAATTCATGATAAATTTATCACAGTGGACATAATTTAGAGTTTTTTTTATAGCTTTTACCATTTATAATTTTAAGAGTTGGGATCCTACTGCAAAAACAAAAACACACGTTTCACTTTGGATCCAATTTTTTGGGTTTCTAAATATGTAAGGGGACGAAAGGGCGGACTTAGAGTATCTTGAGTCAGTCGCTACTTAAGTATCCGAGCTCTCAACTAGGCCAAGCAAGTTACTGATCGAATGGACGTGAAACGTACATTCAAATAGCAGTGCAATCGAGTCAAGTCGATGGAGTTTAATACTTGAACTTGACTTGGCTTCAATGTTCAAGCTTGAGCTCAACTCGCGTCGAATTGATTGGTCAATAAGTTCTACTAAAAGCCTGAATTAAACTTAAGCTCGAATCAAGAGCATAATCTATAATTGGAAGATTAATAATTTTCGGTATTTATGCATACTCATAAATGTATATATAATTAAAATAGATTAAATTTTCATTACCTGATTAGGCTTGCGAGATACTCGAGCTAAGTATTTTCATGTTTAAGTTCAACTCGACTAAGCACTCGATACATTTGAACTCTTGACTCAAACTTAGCCCAAGCTAGATTAGTCTTACTAGTTGAAGTCGAGTAGCTCACAAGTAAATCGATTCACTTGCACCCATCTTTGCAAGGTACAAAATCATTCAAGCTAATATCGATGTTCACATATTCTGGTCCAAGTGCAGTCAATTCCCGGGCCACCGGTCTATTGGGGCCAGTAAGAGCATCGATGTCAAAATTAAGGTCTCTACACATATTTTCTCGCGTCCACGAACAAACAAAATAACAAAAAAGCATCGAAAGCATGTCGCGGGAGACTCATAGGACCAAATAAGTATCCTACCATCCATATTAACCAATCGAATTTTTATGAATCACGCTTCGTTCCATGCCTCGTTTCATAGGGCGAATTCCAGATCGAGTCATGAGATCAGCCCAAGATGCTTTGATTTCTTACATTATTATCAAACTGACCGTCACTGGAAATGCCACTTCCCGTCCGACTTGTTTCCTTTATGTGTTTCAAATGGTTTAGCGTTTTGCCCTAGTATTAGATTAATTTTTTTTTTCATTTTCATCCAATTAAAGTACCAAAAAAAAAAAAAACCAAAAAAATCCTTGTAAGGCCCAATAGGCCCAAATTCAATGAAGCAAATGGAAATGCCCAATGCAACGGCCCAAGCCCACAAGAACTCGCAATCTAGGGCTAACGCTTCGCCACTTCCATTCCCCTATATAAAGCCTCAGCTCCCTCCGCTCATCGCTCTCTCGGAAAACCCTAGCGGCCACCACCTCCTCGTCCTCTGCTCGAGCTTCGCCGCCGCATCGGATCTTCCCGTTTCCTGCTAACAGAGGAACCATGGTGACTCCTCCTCCTCCTCCTCCTTCTTCGTTGCTCGCGGCTCGAGATTCTAGCTTGAGTTTGGCTCACCGATGGCGGATGCGGTTCTGGTCTCTTCTTTGCAGGCGGACGTGGAGGCGGACGTCGCGGTCGCGGGCCAGCCGAAGAAGAGGACGTTCAAGAAGTTCTCCTTCAGGGGCGTCGATCTGGACGCGCTCCTCGACATGTCCACGGACGAGCTCGTCAAGCTCTTCACCGCCCGTGCTCGCAGAAGGTACCTGCTCTCATTTGTTATGCCGCTGTGTTAGAGCGATCTTGTGATTGGTCGGAGATTGGACTGTTGAGTTGATGATGTGGTTTTGCGTGGTTTGATTTTGTTGGTTTTGGATAGGTTCCAGAGAGGTCTCAAGAGGAAGCCTATGGCTCTGATCAAGAAGCTGCGCAAAGCGGTAATTGCTTGTTTCTCGTTCATTGTTGTTTGCCCCATGAGTGCATTTCGTTTGCTGATTGCCGCTGTGTTTCAAAGCATGCTCTTTTGGTTGTCTCTATCTAATGAGCGAGTTTGATTAGACTATTACTGCAAGCATTGTGAAATGAGTTATATTTCTGTAGTATTGGTTTGTTGTGCGCATCGAATGTGGAATCTGGTAGTTTTCGTGTGATGGTTTTGCTGTGCAGTATTAGTGCTTTACCATTACAATGGTTGATACTTGACGTACCATGCTTTGGGGGGCTTCGTGTTTTTGAGAGGAGTTGATGCGGCTGAGGTAAAGCATAGCAGTGTATAGGCGAGAGCAATTTTCAATGTCTTTCTCTAATCAAGAGGATCTGTTATTATAAATTAATAAGAATGTGAGATGGGCAATCACGTTTTTCTTGTGATTGTGGATCGTTTTCCGTCGTAAAGATTGTTCAAGTTCTACGTCAAAGCTGGTGCTTTAAAAGTTCGTTGACTTGACGCCGGGGGCATAGTAATTTGAGTGGAATCATGAGGGCCGACTGCTGATATTTAGTTTGGAGTTTTGCATTCGTATATAGGCCTCCCTCCACTTGTTAGTGTGGCCTTGAACGATGGTGCAGATATTAATAGCTGTTAAATCAGCGGCGGCCAGACAACCGCTGAGATGGATCCACAGGTGAATAGCCCCAAGTGCTGCTTGCCTACTAAATCCATCTTACATATTCCCTTGGGATGTTAAACCTTTTTGAAGAAGAAAATATTGGAGAGAACTGGCTTCCAAATACATTACTTTGTAGGAAATTTTAGATACTCATGTATCTCCTTTCTTAACGGGTCATTAGTACTTTGAAATCATCTAAGCCATAATCTATTATTTGTATAGAGTAGTAAAGTAATGATATGTTGTGGAGTTTTATGAAAGTTAAAAAGAAAACATTAAAATTATAATTAAGCTGAAACTTGATGTTTGAGTGCTTAATGCTTGCATGATACCTATGAACATAACGGATTCCTAGTTAGGTTTGGAGGAACTAAAAATTTTTCTTGCTTGGGAGCATTATATTGTTTACTTCTAGTTAGGCATCAGGGACTGATGGATCATTGAACGTTCTTCCAGTTCCACTATGTTTGACTCAATTTACAGCTTTATGCTGTATGTAACTTCCTATATGAATTCTTGTTTACTAGAAAGGAAGGTCCTTGCGTAAAAACTGTTGGTCAGTATCATTTAACTACTTATTTGATAAGATAAACCTTGGTTATTGAATCCTTTTTTCATCTCTAATGGATCAGAAAAGGGAGGCTCCCCCAGGTGAGAAGCCCGAACCAGTTAGAACTCACCTGCGCAACATGATCATTGTCCCAGAGATGATTGGAAGCATCATTGGAGTCTACAATGGTAAAACCTTCAACCAAGTCGAAATAAAGCCCGAGATGATTGGACATTACCTGGCTGAATTCTCCATCAGTTACAAGCCTGTCAAGCACGGTAGACCAGGTATTGGTGCCACCCATTCGTCAAGGTTCATTCCTCTCAAGTAAATTGGAGATGGGGCAAACTGGGAGGCCATCGCATTTGTCTTTCTCTTTGCAAGGACGACCGTGATTATTTTGGATGTCAGTTGCTATGTTTCTTTAGCTAATGTTTCAAGAGTGTCAGAGATACATCCGAGGCAGAATTCTTCATTTAGTTAAAATATAAGTTGTGGTAGCAGTTGAGGCATTCACAGAATGTTGCGAATTTTCTGGATGGTTCATACATTGTGCGGTAGCTCCTATGAAGTCGTGGTGCTAAACTTTTTTCTAGTTGTCCTGTTCTGTTGTTATGTCTTACATGGGAAAGGTGCTGTTACGAGCTTGGGTTAATTAAAGTTTCGAAGCCCTGCAAAAGATGCAAATTCGACAGTTTAGTTTGTATTATAGTCAAATCACCGGGCATTCACAGTACCTATTCTGCTGTGTAGTTATATTGATGCGTGTGATCTGGTATTTACACACGTTTGAATACAAGAGTACATAGAGGCTGAGTTCCAGCGCTGATCCATGTTAATTGAATTGAAATCGATCATCTATTTGATTAGGTTTATTAGGTTGCCCCCAGACGTTGTCCATCAACTCAGTTGGCTTTTACATTAAAAAAACATCATGTTCCTTCGTAGTTAATGGGCTTGTCCATGAAGATTCTTCTTCATTTGAATCCTTCCATGACCGTGCTACCACTGGGCGTACGCCGCCTTTGTTTAAGGCGATCTTTGCCGCTCGGCCTTCCACCACTCGTTTTTACAGGGGCTCTCTCCCTCGAGGTAGAGCTCGTGGACGTCATGTTCATCTTCATCACCCTTGGAGGAGCTCGTCGTTGCATGCTGAGCACTGTCTCGTTGTCATTGAAGATGCAATTTTGGCGAAAGCAATGAGATCTGGAGGTGTCTCTCGATAGCCAGGTCATGGAGGGGAGGGCGTTGCAGAGACCTTGTTGAGATATGGCGGCCAAGAGAGAGGGGCTCGGCGAGAAGACGAGATTGGGATTTGATTATTGCGAGGTTCAAAACATGAAACTTAATGTGATCTGATGAAGAAGAAAACAGTACGTGGGAACGCGAATGAAAACAACATCCACATCCCATTAAATTATCTATTTTCATCAACTAAATACGAAGCTAGCGGGTAACATTCATCACGTGAAGTCCTTCCCAAGTAGGCGCTAAAAGACGAACCTCTTCCCACGGACAACTTTAGATCATTGTCAACATGTACGGGGACAACCCACGAGATTCCCCACCATTTTTTCCAAGATTCCTAAGGCTATACTGACATATGCGTGCCCGTGTGCGTGACTCAAAAGAGTCAGAAAAGGATTGGCTGGTCATCAAACCTTGGTGGGTCTCGCTTGAATTGTCAATTTCTTGTGCCTTTGCATGATGGTTTTGGATCAGCGGCTTTGTTGACCCCTCTCTCATATCAACGCTAAGTCATTGGGTTCCTTCGACGGCGTTTTTGACCCTTCAACGTCTCATATCTTTTGGTGTATCCACTAGCATCATATAACCCTACTTTTCAATTACTAGTGGTTAGCATGTAGCGTCTCTGAGTGAGCCGATTAGAAAGCTTTTGCACGCGTGCGAGTCCGATACCATACTAGTGAAATGGGTTAACCCCTTCTTCCGTTGATGATTGAAGTATACATATCTCAATTCTAAATTTGGTAACACTGTACATGAATATAAACTTTCTCGTAGAGCACGGTGGACGAAACTTGATCGAATACAAAAGCCTTATTTGGTCAAAAGCAGCTCATTAAGAACCGCTGATGTTTTATTTACGAGAACCATATTTCCATACAATCCTGTTCGAAAAAAACCTTCTCCAACCATACTTTTGATTTTTTTTTAAAGAAGAACCATACTTTTGATTGGTGAGTTACAAGTATGAACGTTATCCACATCTTTATATGATCAAATATGCACGTGGATGATACTCATAACGTTTGACTAGTCGATCAAATGTAGGATCGGAGGGAAATTTCGTCCTATTCACAAACATGTAAGGAGGAGAAAAGTCCCCAGCTGACGTGGAAGGAACTTGGGGTCGATGTTCGTACGTTGTTAGCTTAACCAGTCCATCTTGCCCTCGAAATTATTGTGAAGAAGTTTCCTCTCGGCTTCGAGCAGTGTCCACTGGATGACCTGTTCAACGTTTGCTGCTTCAATCTTCTAGCACCAAGGAAAGACGATGAATAGTCAAAATCACTAAATAATTCTCAGCAGAAGGCCTTGTCGTCAAACATCGCACGTGCACGTTTTGTCGATTAACGATTGGTAATAATGCTAATTAAGGAGCTTAGTCACTAATCCTTTCGCTAGGTTTGACTTTTCCTTTCTCTTCTTCATGATCCTGACCAAATACTATTTCTCGAAGTTGATCGAGCTTATCTAGGGCTTGTTCAACGTTGCAACTGTTTCGTCCATTTGCCATGTGTAAATAGACCTCTCGGGACTTCATAGAACTCGGTGAAAATTGCTCATGAGAAGAAAATACATCAGAACGCAAGCTAGACACCGAAAACGGACGGTCAATTCGACGCACGAGAACAACATGCGAAAAGAGGTCGTGCATAAAAAACGTGTGTTTCGAGATTCAAGCTTTGGCGATAGTAACGAAAGATGTCGACTTTTCCATGGACTGGGAAAATTTCGAATGTGTGTTGCATGAAGATCTTATATGTGTCGATGTCATGAAATAGTGATAGGTGTACATCGGTATCGGATATGTTGTGTATATACCTCATTTTGAACCTCGATTACGGCGAGAAGTTCGTCGGTCGAGCACTGCGTTTGAATCGCCGAAACTTTCAGTCCCATGTTGTCCAAGCACTTGAGGACCTCCAGCATGGAATCAACCCCAGACGTTGGGTTTGCAATCTTGACTCTAATTTTGGTCCCTCCTCCGGCTTTGTCCCCTCTCTTCTCATTTGGACCAGACTTCAACTCCCGGTTCTGTCTCTCCAGCTCTTGCTTGTATCTCACCAGCTCCTTGATCCTCATGCAAGCTGTTTGGACGATGGAGTTCTTATCATTCTGCAATCGAGAATCGCATCGGAGTTAGAGAGACGCAAAAATATTTTACTTGTGAAAAGCTAACACTCTCTTTTCGATGATTGGGTATCCGGGACTTTTTGAGCATGCTACTTGTCCAAAACCAGATCAAAAAATTTGCCCCAGCCTGCCGCAGCGGGCTAGTTACCAAGACAGGAGACTCGCGGGCGGGCGGCCTCAAGAAGCGGCGTGCCCGGGAATTTGAGTCCCGCTTTCTGAAGCTCTGTCCGGTGTCGAGAGTTAACCCGCTCTACAAAAGAATAGCTTTACAAACCTTGGTACCAAGAGGCAATACGGAGTGCAGTGCCGAGTAGCTATTCTTCTGCCTCTCCCTCCTCATCCTCTCGTTCATCATGTGTCGGAAGCCCCGCTCGCTTTCGAACTCTTGGGTCTGCCTCGGCTCGGCCCAGCTCCTCCTCAAGAACTCCATCATCCGCTGGTTCATGTTCTTCCCTGGGTTCGGCTTGAAGCCTCGGTCTTGACCCGGCAGCCAGTACGGATCGACGGGCGACGATGCTGCGTACGGTGAAAAGGCGCTCCGGTTCACTGGCGGCGGCGGCGGCGATTGATCAAACCAGAAGATGTCGCTTTGAATCTCTTCTTGGAAGAGCGAATCCATGACACACCCTCCTCTCTTCCTCTCTCCCTCTCCCTCTCTCTCTCTCCCTTCTACTTTTGCCGGGGATTTTCAAATTTCTGCTGCAGCAGTTATTTATAACGGTCGTCCTGACATGGTGTTTTCTTACCACATAGGAGGCTTGAAGAGGGTAATTAAAAACGTGGCATTTTTTTTGGGGAATTAAAGCGTGGTCAACTCTGTTGTCTCCAGTCTCGGAGACTCCTATGCAGTCAAATTTTGCGCATGCGGTTTCATAGAAATCTTTTGGAGGGGGCAGTTCAGGAGTCACTGTCGAAAGCTGGTCAAAGGCTAAGAATAGTCTTCGGTTTAAAACCACTGGGCTGACCGAGAAGTGTGGTCCGTTTGATGCGAAATCAACGGACAAAAGGGGAAGTCCATCAGATGAGATCAGCAATTCTCTAGACCAGGTGATGGCTAATATGGAGGTTGACTTTCTAATTTCTCTCCTCTCGTTTTTTTTTATTTCTCCTTTTAGGTCAGATGACTTTCTATGTTCACACACAGCACCAGGTAAGGCTAAGAGCTTTAGTCAACCGATTAATATAAAGGTTTATCGCCATAGAAAAAAATGCTCGTGTATGTTGGGACAAAGCGATTACGACGAGACGATATTGAATGCGAATATCATACGGATTATCTTCACAAATGTGAGATTGTAAAGTCGAAATCCTTGTGAGCATGGAATGTCGAAAGCCTTGCGGGAGCAATCGCGCTTTTGACCCTGATGGAGTTGCCGTGCGATCGATTTTAACCCTTTGAATTAAGATTGCGGTAGAGTTATGGATCAAGCTAAATGTTTGATAGCGAATATGGCAGGAGTATTACCGTGTCAAAGGCCACGTGAATCACAATCTATTTGGAGAAACCCTAATCACTTAGCAACTAAAATAATTGCTTAACCTCAATCTGCCCATTGGAAGAGCTTGACAAAAAGTTCAGTCAAAGCTGAGAAGCAAAGTCAGCAGGAGTTACGGAACATACCCTTCAATAGAAGACAGAATATGAGCACCGTTTGGATCCTCTGGATAACTCAAGTCTCAAGTTACCGTTGATAGCATTGGCAATGTTTGGTGCCGACAAAATAGGAAAAGAACAAAAATACAGAAAACTATCATCCACAAAGGAGTCATGTTGTTGCCAAGAACTTTATATGCCCGTCGCGTTCGGACTTCTGATTGTAGGGTCCCCTTTTGTTTCGGACGCGGTGTAGCAAGCGTGATAAAACATGCTGGAAAAGGCTAAAGAATCACACTTTGCATGGCACTGCCTCATCTAATCAAATCGTCGAACAATGGTCAGCCCATATAAAACCTACCATGTTCATATTATACCCCACGCGTTCTGTACATGAGATGGAGAAGATATCTTACACCTGCGAAACTATAAGCCACAAGCGCAGCTATCGTTATCATGCTTCCTTCGCGCGAGCTTAAGCTATAAACTCGTCCAAGCATTCAATGTTATGCCGGAAAATGCTTGAAGTTCGTTTTTCGGTGCAGTTCTGCGACTAGGACCAATTACGACCAGTTTCTTTCTCATGATCATTGGTGGCATGCACGGCAAGGGTGTTAGAATCGAACCAAAAATCCGAACCAAAACCGGAACCAAACCGAACCGAAAATTTCGTCAATTTTGGTTCGGTTCCGGTTTCGGTTCAAATCATGGAAAATCAGCTTGTCTTTTTTTTTTTTGTTTGGGTAATTTCAGTTTGGTTCGGCTAAGAAAACCGAACTGAAAGCCAACTTAAAGTTAAAATCTTTCTCATTCTCACCCCTCTCAGACGAAGAAACTAGAGAAAGCCCTTGTTTAAGCATCTCGCGCTCTAGATCTGAGGAGCTTCCCCGACCCAATCGCCGCCAGCTTCTCCAGTCCCCTTCCTTATCTCAATCCATCGAACGATCGTTCCCTCCCCTCCCACTCTTCTCTTCGTTCATCTGAAGCAGCCGTCGACATCAGATTCATCTCTCTCGACCCCCCTTGCTCGATTGACCTCTAGGCCGCTGGCTCCGCGAAGATTTCCAGCGTGTCGGATTTGGGGTTTGCGGGTCTATGGGTCCGTGGCCCTAGCTTGCGCCATCGTTGATCTGCATGTTTCCTTGAGCTTTCTCTGGCTATTGGTTGCTTTTTCCGGCAGCTTCAGCTTTTGGGTCGGTGGATGTGCTCGAGTTTTCTTCTCTTTGTTTTGGTTCTATCTGGGTATGAGTTTTGGTCGATTTCTGGGCTGTCAAGTTTTGAGCTTTGGCTGCTTTCTCGTGAAGAATCTCTCCTGTTGCTGTGATTCCCAAGAATTTCTGCGACTGTTCGCTACTATGATTATGCTTAATTTGTGGAAGGAAGATGTAGATCAGCGGGTTTGTGGGTTCGGCGCCGAAGATTCTTGGCCTTTCGGGACTTAATTTTGCGACTATTGTGCTTGGCGGAATTCAGTTTTTACGAATAAAAAGCATAAAAAAAGAACAAAGAAAAAGGAAGAAGGAACCGAAAACTGAGCGGAACCAAACCGAACCAAAACGGTTTTTCGGTTCGGTTCAAGCGAGATACGGTTTGGTTCAAGAGTGCACCCCTACCAGTTCAGTTCGGTTCGGTTTTTCAGGAAAACCGAACCATTTACACCCCTAATGCACAGTGGTGCTCGACGCTGCATACGCACGTGTAGTCGGGCCTTCTGAATCTGGTTGAGACTCCTCGTTTTCTTCATCATCTGAAAATTCGGCTTCTGAGAGCAGTTCATAACTCGGATTGCTGTGTTCATCTTCACCACCATTTTCGCTGTTATACATCCCCAGATATGCCTCATCTCCTTCCTCCTATTTAAAAGGATCAGAAACAGATAACAAAAAGAGAAACAGGTACCTTGGAACCTAATTTAAAATAGATATAAGGAAAAGCAAGATAAGAACAAGCTAAGGTATACCTCATTGTCCTCCTCATCAGTGGGGTAAGCAGAATCTAATCTGTCGTAAAAAGCGTCGTCGCCTTTCTCTTTCATGCGGTCCATTTGTTCCTGTGAATGTGCAAGTGGTTTTAATGGTGGAGTTACGTATTTTACTGTTTAGATAGCTGGACCGAACTGGCCAAATTCAAGAAGTATCGGGGGCCTTACGATTTCGGATTGAAGTTGCTCCACCTTTTTCTGCAGATTGGACACGTGATTTTGGAGTGCCTGTTTCAACGAAACAAAAAAAACCATTTCAGCAAAGATCTCTGAGTGTTTCAACTAGCAGCATACTTCCAGAAAAAAATCACCAAATCGTGAATAGAGATGTCTGAGTACCATCAGAAATTTCTGCATTGTTCATCATCCCCTCCCCAAAAATAGACATCTCACATGAATAGTAATGCCAGAATGCACCACAATGTATAACACATATCGTATGCCAGTGTCAATCTAGGTGCTTTCAGCATTTAATTCAGGAAACCATGTAACTTCAACAAAGCTAGACAGCCATCAGGTCATCAACAAGTGACTCATGCCATCGTGCTTTCACAATATTCAGAAATGTGTTTCCAAACCAAGACTGCAATGGAAAATTACCAGCCAAACTCAAGCATACCGATTAGCATACACACAAATGCACTCTGTTTTAATATCTGGAACTCGACAATGATAGGAACATATTATTGGAGCAGACCACTAGCATCAGCACAGATACATGCAAACATGCACATCAAACAAGGTGAGATATGTGTGGACCTACAAATTTAATACCAGAAAATCAGGAATTTTGGTGAAAATAGATGCAATTGTATAGCCGTACCTCGCGTCTTTGAAGCTCAATAGAACGAGCCAGAGCCTTCCTCTTCGTTAGAAGATTCTTTGGCCTCAAGGTGGAAGGCCGCTTATAATCCTTTCCACGGAACACCACAATGGCATACCCTTTGGAGACTTTGTCAACAGAAACCAAGACCCCACCACTCTCGGCTTCGAGAGCCAAAGCTATTTTCTTAACATGGTCGAAGGTCTTTGACTTCAGAATGATCTTCACCAGCTCTCGATACTTCCAATGCAAGTGCATGTTCTCCACCGTACCATCAAAAACACCCCGTCTTCCTGGAAGAAAGAGATCAATCAGCAATATAAGTATTAGTCTCCAGGGTTTAAACACGTGAATGGTAATGTCAAGTGTTTTTACCAAGAAGCAAAAATGCTTTCATCCTTAAGCCAAGCTTGCGGAACATGAATCTCTCTTCATCAGAGATGCTGTCCGGGTCTGCTCGCAGTTCTGCTGGTTTCAGGAACTCCTCAACCTTTGACAAAGCTCTTTCGGCTCGAAATAGCCTTTTCTCAGCCTAGGAGATTTATTCAAATTTAGGTTGCAAGCAGATAGCACATTTAGTACTAACACCATGTCCGCTGATGCTTTCAGCATATTAAGCCATAAATTACACACCTCATTATTGAATTCAACTATGCATCAGTACCTTACTTATTTGATCAATACTTTTGAACAATGTCTTTTTGGCAGAAAAGAAATGGAATTTTTCAAGCACGATATCAATCACGGGTGACCCATCAACAACAGTTGTGCTTTCACTAGAACTAAAGTTGCTTGGTTTTAAAGACAATTATTTACAGGAAGAGGCCATTTATGCTCTTAAAGCAAAGAGAGATGCTGTACAAGAATTGAGAATACTCACAAAATCAAGCTTTCTTTCAAGCTTCCTGACGAGGCTTGCATGCCTTGTTATTTCTGCTTCCATCATTACTTTTTCTTTGTGCTGTTCATCCAACTTCTTTCCCCACTTTTTATTGGCATCAAGAGTCTCCATAAGCGTACCGGTATTTCCGGGCTGCTCATACATATGATCGGTTGGAACAACCGAGGCTGATGCCCTCAAGCGAGCCTGCTCCTCCTCATCTTGAAGGGACTTTGCTAGTCTTTCCCTCTCCAATAATGCTTCAGTGACTTCTAGCGAGAGAAAATTTTTACCTCGATAGAAAACCAAGAAGTCCTTGTTTCTTGAGAGCAGTACTCCCCCTGTCAAATTCTATATCAAAAAGCTTGACTCAAACCATACTTTTCTACTGCTCATGAAAAAAGGCAAAACAATCCAAAGTCGATGCAATCAGAAACGAACTAGTAAGCTCATTATGAATTTTCTTGATTGCGTAAAAAAAATTCAGTAGACTCAAGTGAAAAACTGCAGTCATGAGAAGAATAAACACGCAATAAGATTTGATCACAATTCTATGGACAGCCATCGTTTTTTAGGTCCAGTGACAAATTACCCAAGACATTACTAGAGTAAACTATCAGATAAAAATAAACAACAAACATAGTACTTAATGGGTTGGACAAGTTTCCTGGAGCAATTACCTTAAGATCTTCCGCCATCCTCTCACTAGTTGTAAGCTGTACGCCACGTTTTAGTGCAATCTTCGCAATTGAACTTTTTTCCCATAGCTTGATCATGGCCACAGCCAAACCTTGGAGCTGCCTGCTTCTTCCTGGGTACAAGAAAATACAAGAACGATGAGAATGCCACTATGAGAGCCAACCAAGTAAGATGATGACATCGCATACCTAAAGCAAAATGTGGAGGAAGTACTCTAGCAAGCCTTCTCAAAGCCGTTGCCTCCTTTTGGCTAATCGTTGCTCGTACTCCATAAGGAAGGATTCTGAAAGGAGGTTGGTAACCAGGAACTGTTCCAGGCAACATGTCTGCATCCACAGGCAAGGGCTCGCATCCTGGCCAGTCTCTGTACCTAGGACCCAGGCTATCTAGCAATTTGTCCATTTCATGTTCATATTCAACTTCTGGCGTTGACTCTGAATCTTTATTCCCAGATGCAATATCAGATGCCCGCGCATCCTCGCCGCTTCCACATTGCGAAGGATCCCTACCAATGGTATCAGCAGGTGCTGATGAAGTAGCTGAGCTTCCTTCTTTTCTATATATTTGTTTATTCAGTTGCACTGAAGGGTCTTTGTAGCTCACACCTCTGTACAATGAAACCGACGTTCCAGATCTCCAAACCACTAGACCACCGGTTTTCCTCTGTACATGTGCATACAAGCATCATCAATAGATAATAATACTGAAATAACCTTTAATAGTACCATTAATTAGGTTGGTTTTTGCAGGGCTATAAACCGTGACAATTTAAAGATATTACTAAATGCCCGCAGTGCCTGGCAGCATTGTGGATAGAGAGAACAAGCTTGAATGTATGCTATTCCATTTCCATGGGTTTACATGATGCATACTTGTCTAATATGAAAATGGTAGTGAATAATTATCAACAACAGCTGGCCTTTACCTTCATGTCGTGCTTCCAGTTTCTACCAAGCATGTTAATTAAACTAGAAACTTTAAAAAACAAAAGGCGCGTTCTATCTTAATGGTTATGTGAAAGGTGATCATAGCTTTATCTGATTACTGACTAGAGCTTGGGCCAGATGCACATGAATCAAAAGACATAATCTGAACACTGTCCAATTGTTGGAAGCTGAAACCCATCTAAACCATGCTAAACTTTGACTCGTAAATAACTGACCAATGAAAATTCGCAATCCTCTTGAATTCCATTAGAACAAATCTGACTATTGAAACATAGGTTGCATATCTCTTGCTCATTTTCAGTGAAATCAGTAGTTGAATGTAGTCTATGTGGCTAAAACAGAGAGCACATGAAGCTACCAAATCAATCTCAGCTACCTTGATAAACATCAAACAAGAAAACCACCACCTCAATGAAAGAGACGTGAAAATCTGGTATAAGTACAAGTCTCATAGACCTTTCCGTCAAGCAGCGTATTAGATTAACCACAGATTCCTTGTTAACAAGAGGAAGATAAATGATACGAGACTTGAGAAATCAATACATGTATGGAAGAAGCATACCTCCAATATCTCGTGTGTCCTCTTCATGTTAAGCGCAGCCGCACTCTCAATTTTCAACCTCACAATCTCCGAGGTCTTCCACCTCTCGTGAATCGTGTCCACGACCGCTTGCTTAACACCACCTCCGCCAATCCTCATCTTGCTCTTCGTCTGAAAAGTCAAGTTCCTCAACCTCCTCAGCTCCGGCTCCGGAAGCGTCAATTCCGCCACTGAGGTGTTGCTCTTACTCCTTGCAGACCAATCTTCTTCCTCCCCCTTCCCTTTTGGCTTATCCCACGGAAACCTTGCTCCACTGCTCTCCCCAATCACGTTTGCTTCCGCGATTCTCGACTCTGCCGAAAACCCGCCTCGCGTGTTCGGCAACAATCCTTCCTCCACATAAAAGATATCCTCCACAGATCCTTTCTCCACCACTCTTTCCGGCGGTCTCTCTCTCCTCTCATACCCATCATCCACGTATCCAAATTTCTTCAATTTCTCCACGATTCTCTGCATTGTGGACCCACTGCCACCACCAGTATCGCCGCCATTTCTGTAATTCATCACAGCTCGAGGCAATTTGGGGCTGTTTTGCTTGTTGGGTTCGTTCCATTTATCTAACCAACCGTTGCTGCTACTAAAGCTTAAGCTGGGATTAAACAAAGAAACGGGCTTGCCTCTAGCAGGAGCCGAAACACTCGATTTCCTACAAGGGTTTTGTTCAATGGATGCAAAAGAAAAGACATTAAACTTCGCCGCACACAGAGAGTGGGTCTTTCGACGAGTTGGAGAATCATACCTCAGGAAGTGGAAGCGGGTTCCATGAAACGTTGATGGGTAGAATTGACGGGGAGGGACAAGAGCCATCGAAGAGAGAGAGGTACCTGTATGAATCAAATCATCAAGATAACGAAACAAATTGTGGGAAATGGGTGAAGCTCGTGGCGATGACAGTGAGTTTTGTTGAGACTTCGGAGAGGTTTTGGCCTTTGAAACTAGGGGTGTGCTTAAGTATCCAAACTAACATCGTCTAAACGTGTTGTCAGAGCTATTTGATCGATACAACACTAAGCAAGGACTAGTTTGGGACTTTAGCATGTTGAAATCTACTCCTCACATACTTTGGAGGTGTGCAAAAGAAACCAGTGATCACTCGTATCTTGTCCACAGGTGCGGTTGCTAACTTATGTGGTTGCGGTAGGGAGGCGGCTGCTGTCCTGTTTTGGGTTCACATATTCGCAATCTTCTCTATGGTTGGATGGATCACTCTGTACCTGAATCTACTGTTCTGAATCTGCAGTGCCCTCTCAGCTCGGCTACAAGCCTGTTATTCTTTTGCTTGTTCTGCATTTCCAAATTCAGCGACACGCGTGCAGATCAACGCGGTATCGAGAATTCTTTATATGGAAGAGAAAAGCAAGGAAGGGGTGATGATACCCTCAAGAAAGGCGCGCGGAGTCTTTCCCAGTCTCTTGATATATATTTAATTATCATTCTCCCGTATTAGTCACATCCTTTCTTTCTTCTTCCACTTACTAATTACTGTTACATCAGCAAGTAGAACGGCTGTTGTTAACAGCTTATAAGTTAAGAAGTTGGCCCAGTTCTTAGGAAGATATCTCCATCTGTTCTCTCTCTCGACCCAATCCGACCTGAAATACTGAACATTTGTGCTTGGCCGGACCCGAACCAAGCCCTGAACGGGTCAGGTCGGGCCACCGCCTAGTCCAATGCTTCCAGAGAAAAGGGAAAGAGAGAGAGAGGGGTAACCTCGACTCCCTGGAGAGGAGCTTGTTCTCGTTGATCTTGCGACCACCGCCTTTGGGGGTGCTGCTGGCTCCGTCCTTCCACTTATCACCTTCGACAGCTTCTTTTCACCTGAATCGAATTCAGACTCACCCAATCAGACAACCAACACAAGAAACCCATCGCAGGTGAAATCCGCAGCGTGCGATCGAGATCACGCTCTGCAACCGCCATCCCTTCGCAAGAGCGCGAACGAATCGATCAAGGGAAGGAAGGAAGGAAGACGCTTTACACTTATCGCACAGTGCGCGCGCAGACCCACACTTTTCGTCAAGACGCTCCGCAACCCTCTCAGCTTGTTGTTTGTCGCCGATGGAAGAACGAAGAAGAAGATAGAATGAACCTTAGCTTGTTGTTTCGATTGGGCTCGGCTGTGAACAAGAAGAAGATAGTATTTCCTCGTTATCCGAGCCCAATTATTTTTTCTGTGAGGTCCAACCCGACCAAATACGAAATTTTTTTGGTCGGATTGGCTCGTGTTTGGCCGGGTTTTTTTGACAGCCCTATCTTAATCGCACGGTGCGGCAATCCCGACGATCGATAGCGAGGATAAAGACTCGAACTTTCTTTTAATTCACAAGACCCATCAGCAGAATACTTCAGGATCACTCCCGGATTCAGTGAGCCGCGAGCAGAAAATGCTTCAACTTAGACGGTGAGGGGCGAACAGCCGCGGGATTATCGAATCGATTGGGATTCGATCGAGGCGTGAGTGTCGATCGAAAGGGGAGGGCCAAGAGTCGAAATTTACCTCGTCGCGGAGCTGCTGAGCTTCCTCCGGAGTAACGCCGTCGGCGAGGGCTCAGTGCACGAAGGAGTCGTACCTCGCCGAGAAGATGAGCAAGTAGAGAGAGAAGAGATGCATCAGCGACCTCATTGCTCTCTCTCTCTCTCTCTCTCTCTCGGATCTATCGGTATTCAAGGGAGAGAGGAGAAGCGGCGGCGGCGTTCTGGTCACTGCGCGACGGAGCTGTAGGGCTCTAGGCTGCCATAGCCAGTGCTCGAGGTGGGGGTGTGTGGGGGAGAGAGAGAGGAGGGGAGATTTCAGTTGAAACCCAGAGGCGCGATGGAAGAAGACGACGACCTTCCCCTTTTGATGACTTCGCTTGGCGTGTTACGACAATCTGTTCTTTCTCCTCCTCCACCTTTTCTTCAAGATTTTTAAATCCGCTTGTCCATTGCAGAAATGGAAAAAGATCCCGTGATATTTAGGCTGCGCATGACGACGGTTCTGTGCCCGAAAATAAATTCGGCTCATAAATGATTTTTTTTTATTCTGTGCTCGAAATTAATTCTGAACATTTTAAGGCATTTGCTAACGGCCCAAAATTCATTCCCTGAAATAAAAAAAGAACAGAAATGCGTTTGGTAACACCACAAAATTTCTTTTTATTAATAATATTTTTAAATATTTTAATATTTATTTTTTTTCTTTTTTTCTTTTCCTCCTTCTTGGCCATGGCCTACTCACCGGCCATGACCGGTAAAATATTTTTTTATTAATAATATTTTTATTAAAAGTATTTTTTCTTTTTTTTTGCCATTGCCTGGTCGCCGGCCATGACCGGTAAAATAATTTTTTTATTAATAATTTTTTTATTAAAATATTATTATTAAAATATATATATTTGTATTTTTTTGGTCATGGCCGGTAAAATATTTTTTTTATTAATAATATTTTTTTTATTAATAATATTTTTATTAAAAATATATATTTTTTCTTTTTTTGCCATGGCCTGGTCACCGGCCATGGTAGGTAAAATATTTTTTTATTAATAATATTTTTATTAAAAATATATATTTTTTCTTTTTTTGCCATGGCCTGGTCACCGGCCATGGTAGGTAAAATATATTTTTTTAATAATATTTTTTATTAAAAATATTTTTTTCTTTTTTTTGGCCATGACCGATAAAATATTTTTTATTTAAATATTATTTTTTATTAAAATATTTTATTTTCGTCAGATCCAGCGAGGGCGGTCCTCGGGCCGGACATTAGAAGCTATATTAAAAACCAAGAAAAGGAAGAAGAAAAAAAAATTGATTTTCAAAATTGTTCCCAGAATCAAGAAGCTACTTTTTTTTTATTCTTGAAAACTAATTCTGGGAACAATTTTTGACAAAATTGTGTCCAGAATCAAAAAATTAAACAAACGCATTTCTGTTCCCAAACTGATTCTGGGAACAAAAGAACAGAATCAAACACTGTTTGGCAAGTTGTCATGCGCAGCCTTAACTTCAAAATCATCGCCCGAAATAATTTATCGGTAATAAATATTTTCATTATCAATAATAATTTATGTCGTTCGTTGTTCATTCGTTTTCTTAGGTAATATAAGTCATCATTTTTTTTAAAATATTTTTTAAATTATTCATTTTTCGCAAAATAAATAACTTTAAAAGTGCAATAAACTATGAAAATATATTAGATAAACATTGGCTCTACCAATTCCAGAACATCTTAACTTTATTTTTTATGTCATGGCGGGTCAATTACATATAGTGTATTCTTTTGACTAGGAAAAAGGACGGTTGCATTTGTAGGTGGGTGCTTTGGATCTCACGTAAATAGGCACGGTTGATGCGAACGATGGATTTGTCTCGCGAGTTGAACATTCTGTGGCAGGGTGCAGAGTTTCTGCGATGGTGTTGCCCAGTTACCGGAAGAGGCAGCCGGTCGTCGAAAACCAATATATGGTGGTTCTCATCTCTGGAACTAGTTGCTTCCTGCTTGAAGTATCATGACAACAATTAAACCTATGTCCCAGTACCACTCCCTGTTGTTCTTGTCGAACCCAACCCACACATTCAAAAGTAGGACTCGTTGAACCACAAAATCTCCCTCTAGGACATTCATGGCAAACTGTACGCGACTCGATTAGACCGGATAAAACAGTCTTCCAATGAGTTCATCATACAGCAGCATGTTCATCAAGTAAGGGGGATGCAAATGCCGAAAACTTATCAACTAATTATCGAGGGATAGAACATGAGAGAAATTCAGGTTGGCCAAGAATCTTCCTATCCTGAAGTGTAGACACTCATTCAGTTCTCCATGACTAAGAAGATGAATAGTGGAGAATGTTTTATCCTAGAAAGGAAGAACATATCAGATAACAAACATCTTGTAAAGTTCCCGGGATATCTCTGCGTTGTCCAACTCAAACTCTTGATGTGCATGTCTCTCTGTTCCTAAAATACAACATCAGACAAGGCCGATCTGCGGTGTTGCAAACATTCTGTGGTGTTGCAAACATTTTACTGTAGAATCAATGAAGTTTCGGCATGGAACAGAGCCATCTGTGTACAACATCGGCTACCGAATTTGGAAACTGAGGGAGGTATAGAACTAGGACCGTAGCCATCAAAGAGAGAGGTACCCGTATGAATCAAATCATCAAGATAACGAAACAAATTGTGGGAAACGGGTGAAGCTCGTGGCGATGACAGTGAGTTTTGTTGAGACTTTGGAGAGGTTTTGGCCTTTGAAACTATGGTTCTTTGGAGAGGGAACGAATGGTAATATCAACATGTATGGCTGGCTGCGAGAACACGAGCGTTCTTGTAAGGATTTGGGCCATCTCTGCCTGTATTCAGACAACAAGATTAGCTCCAAAAAACAGTTTTTGTACAGTGCAGACATCATATGAGCTATCATTCGAAATTAATTTTTAATGAACAGAATTCAAAAGATATTGAATTTTAAAAGAAAAATTGATTGAGGGAAATCACTGAAAAACACTCATTCAGTTAAAAACAAATTGAAATGCAAGTACATCTTCAAATAATTTGGAAAAAAAAAAATACACACAGATCACACAAAAGAGAATGTCTAACAAGTTTGATGTTTCCGAGGTCGTGTCCCTCGCCATGATTTAGATGATACAATATCATAATCATCCTCTTGTTCACGTCGAGCATGTTCCTTTGGAGACAATACTTGCAACAACCAATCATACCCAACGAAAGCATTTCTAAATTTATCGCAGACAAGTTGTGATGGGTTTTATAATTTTGGGCCGCCCATGTTGGGCTAACCCAGCCCATTAGACTTGAAAGAGCCCATGAGAGAGAGATAACAGCCGAGGCAGTTATTTATGGGAAACTGCAAAAAGAACAAAAGGGTGAGGCAGATGAAAAAAAATGTATGTTTTGTAAATTTGATATTCACACTAACAAGAACAAAACTTCTCTCACTCAAAACGAAAAAGGCTCTCATTCGACGATCGAAGAATCGTACTCTCTCGGTGTTGCAATCGGAGCATTTAATCCGCGGAAAACAAGGTACGTCCTTCTTGGTTATGTACTTTAAACGATTGGTGATTCAAGTTTCAACTGGGCACGTTTCCGCATATGTATTTAGCGTTACTCGTTAGTTCGAGTTTTTCATCGTTTAGGAATTTGTTTCCGTTTTTCTGCATTTTGTTTAGGAATATGTTTCCAACATTGGTATCAAAGCAATGTGTCTTGTTTCCTGATCGTTTAACGTGTTTATAAAACGGATTGTTGGTTGGAATTCGTGAAACGGCGCCGACGAAAGCTCGGGTACGAAAAACCGACACCTGGCGATACTGTTCGAGGTCGTTTCTCGATTTTCGTGCGTCAAAATTTATTTTTGAAAGTGTAGGGTCGTAGTACTCATTGAGACGAGAAAAACGATGAGTGGCACGCCTCCGGGGGAGGCCAGACGCGCCTCCACGCGCTGCAGCAAGTGGCGGCTCGCCAACATGTGCGTCGCACGTGCGCAGCGGTTACCGCGCGCACGCGCCAAGCATGAGCGTGTGGACGTGGCTGACATCAGCCACACAGTGATTCTCCCGGGCCGAAGGCCCGGCCTGACCCGGAAAGCCCTACCCGATTGGTCCGATCTGACCCATTTTTCGACCCGTTGACTTGACCCGGTCATCCGTTGACCGTTAACTGGTGTTAACTACCGTTGACCGTTGATCGGCGTTGACCATCAAAAAATAAATAAATAAATTTGCTAATCATATGCTGTAAGGATTATGTGTAATCCTATTTGGTTCTGCATTTGTTGCAGGAACAATGTCGCCCCGTACGATGTGTACACCTATTATCCCACGAATGGCTAAACAAAAGGCAAGACTTGTAGCGTTAAGAGCTGAGTTAGATGCTTATCGATGGGAAAGTGGTCATTTGGAGAATCACATGGTCAAGGTTAAAAAGATGATACAGAAAATCATCTGGAATGGTTACTATATGCTCGACTTTGAGAAGTTGAATGTTGTGATTAACACTCTTCCATCTGAATGGAAAAAGGTGTTGCATCACCTATGGGAGGTCAACATGGTCCCATCCTACAAAAAACTTACAATATATTTTGTGAGGGAATACTATAGGATTGAAACAACAAAGACTTCAACCTTAGGGATGAATGGAACTTGGCGAAGAATGAATGCACCATGGAGAAACCCTAAGGGATACCCGATAATCTTTTCTTGGTTGCCAAAGAAAGAGATTAAGTTTCCTAATAAATTTGATAAATCATTCCCTGTTTATAGGAAAGTTAGGTATCATTGATTTTTATATATGTTTTAGGTTAGTTTTAGATGTCCTAGGTGGATATTTCTTTTCACGTTGATGTTATTGTTTCTTTCCTATGCTGGATTCGTTCCTTATGTAAATAGTGTTTAGTTAATGAATATTGATGGATATTTTTTTGTTGTGAATAGTTTATGGTATTATTATATTTTAATACCTATCTTATTAGTATCATGTGGTTGAGTGGGAATTCTAAAAGTTTTAGTAACTTTGAAGAATGTAATTTTACCTTAATGATTATATTAACGATAATTTCATATTGGGATTTTAGATGATGATTGGGAGCATAGTGAACTTTCGAATATAAAAACTATGTGAAATTACTCATTAATATAATCAGTTTGTGTAAAATTGATGCATAAATGAGTGGCATTAATAATTCATACGTATATGTCTAAAATGTTCAGATTCAATGGCTTCAGCAACTAAGAACATAATAGCTGAATTGAACAAAGGAGAGAAATTGAACGGCGAAAATTATGAAATATGGAACATGAAAATTCAATATGTGCTGGAAAAGCAAGAGGCACTAGAAGCTCTTAACCAAGTCATGGAAGAGCCTGAAGATGGAAACACTACCCAGCACAAAAGGGACAAGGATGCATTTGCTGTTTGGAAGAAAAAGAACTCTCTTGCTCGCATCACATTGCTGAGTAGTATGGAGAATGACATCATGCGAGAGTTTAGGCGCTTTGAGCATACCAAAGAAATATTGGAAGCACTAGCAGCAAGATTTGGTCATACATCAGTGACCAAGCTGAGATAGCTCACTATAAGGTTTAACTCGTACAAGAAGCCTCATGGTCAGACCATGAAACAACACTTGAGAAAGATGTCAAACATGATCAATGAGCTGAAGGATGCTGGCCACATTCTGACTGATGAGCAGTAAGTACATGCAGTGATCCGTTCCTTGCCTTAAAGCTGGGAGCACATGAAGGTGCACCTGACCCACAATGAGAACATCAAGCCCTTTGAGGATGACATGCGCCATCTTGAGTTGGAAGAGGATCGCCTCCTGGAGATTAAACCAAAAATCGACATCTATTATGCTGGTTCTAGCTCACATTGGGCTTCGAGCTCTAAGCGCAAGCGCGTCGAAAGGTTCATGAAATGGAAAGGCAAGGGAGCAAGTTCTTTGGGTAAGAAACCGAAATTTAACCAACATGATAAAGAAAAGCGTCCTTTCGTTAAGAAGATATCAATGGTGAAGTGCTACAACTGTAGCAAGAAGGGCCATTTCGCTCGCGATTGTGGCGAGCCAAAGAAGGTAAACATCCCTTGTATTATTGAGAACTTTGCTTATCTGTCAAGTTCCATATTTCTAACCGAGTCTAATCTTTTGTGGACCGTAGATTCGGGAGCCACAGACCATGTAGCGAAGGACAGAGCTGCCTTCGTGGAGTTCCGACGGATTCCGATCGGAACAAAATGGATTAATGTAGGGAACAACTCCAAAGCTAAAGTTAAAGGGATTGGCACCTGCCAGTTAATGATGTGTGGTGGACGCACATTGTTCCTACATGATGTATTATATGCTCCGAAGATTCGTCGGAATTTAGTGTCTGTATTAGTGTTGGTTAAACTTGGTTTTAATTTGAACTTTCATAATAATGGTGTTGACTTGTATTTGAATATGAATTACTATGGTTGTGGATACTTTCTGGATGGTTTTATTGTATTAGATGTTAACGTTTGTTATTCTCTATTTACATCTTCCAACTCCTATGATAATGATGTGAATGTGTGGCATGCTAGACTTGGTCATATTGGCTAACAACGAATGAATAGATTAGCCAAATAGGGCTTATTAGGCAATATTGAAAAAGTCAATTTGCCTATTTGCGAGAATTGCCTGATGGGGAAAACATCAAGAAAACCATTCGGAAAAGGCACAAGAGCTGAGTTTCCTTTGTAACTAATCCATTATGATATCTGTGGTCCAATTAATGTAAGAGCAAGACATGGGGCTGTATATTTCATCATATTCATAGATGATTGTACTCGATTTGGATATGTCTATTTGATTTCTCATAAATTTGAGGCATTGAGTTGCTTTAAGAAATGTATGAACTTGGTAGAAAATCAACTAGATAAGAAAATAAAAGCATTAAGATCCGATCGAGGTCGAGAATATTTATCTAATGAGTTTAGAAATTTATGTGATGAAAAAGGAATAGAAAGACAGTTATCTATTCCATATACTCCTCAACAAAATGGTGTTGCCGAGAAGAGAAACAGAACCCTATTGAAAATGGTTAAGTCCATAATGGCACAAACTAACTTACTAATCACCTTTTGGGGTGATGCTTTGTTAATTGCTACCTATGTACTTAACCGTGCGCCTTCTAAATCAGTTACTTCCACTCCGTATGAGTTATGGATAGGTAGAAAACCCAATTTAAGTTTTCTTAAACCTTGGGGTTATGCTGCTTATACTCAAGAGCCCTCTCACAAATATGAAAAATTGGGTCCCAGAGGTAAGAAGAGTATTTTCATAAGATACTTAGAGCACTCGAAAGGGTATGTGTTTATAGGTGAGCAAGAAAGTGGGAGAATAACTGAATTTGAATCATGAGATGTCACATTCTTAGAGAATGAGTTTCCTAAGAAGGGCGAAATAGGTGATAACTACTCACTATTTGAAATCT